CCCTCGGCCGGCAGCCTCAGGACACTGTGGGACTTCCCAAGTCTCCCTGACTGTGGGGGCCTCCCTTTTCACATTCTGCCAAGTGGGGACACACAATGGCTGCCCCTGGGGTGGCCAGACGGGTCCTGACGTCGGGGGTGTGCAGTGAGCTCCGGGCTTAGTCTGTTTCACAGGGAGAGCTCCATTGTCGAATACTGAACCAGGGACTTTTCATCTCCTCCCCTCCAGCTCCTTCCCTGCTCCCCAGCCCTGGCCCTGGGAGTGCTCCGTGTCCCCCAGCTCTGACTGTCCCTTGGTTCGTAGCACCAGGGCTGGCCATTGTACCCCCTGTGCTCCTACATTTGGATCCTTTTGGGGCCTGCCCCATGGCCTGCCTGGAGTCTTCATTCAGCCTCAGCGCGCTGCTGGGCTGGAGATTGTGCATTCAGCCAGAGCGGCCAGGTGGCTCCTCCACCACAGCCCAGAAACCTCGTGAAGCAGGTGGCACTGTTGCCATCTGAGAGTGAAGCACAGACCCCCTTGGTGCTCTTCGCTGCTCTCAGCATGTAGTCGGGGGCACTGAGCCATGGTCTATGACACCTCATCTCCTTCCCCTTCCTCCAAATGAGAGAGGGCCTTATGCCCACCTCCAGGCATCCTTCTCTGCCCCTGCCTGTGGGTACAGGCCTGGCAGGTGCACCTGAGACCAGGAAGTGAGCTTTACAAAAGGACTTCCCATGGCTCCTTGCCCGGAGCAGGGAGGAGCAGGCACCCTCCTTCCCAGATGCCCTCAAGACTCCTGGGTCCCCACAGTGGCTTTGTGAGGCCCGTCGTGTCGCCTCTGGAGTTGTTTTGCTGAAGAAGCGCGTGTGCTTATGAGTCAAGAACCAAGGGAGAGAGTGGCCGAGGTTTCCTGTTGGGCCAAGTGTGGGGCATCCACGGGAACCCTGAGGGAGCTGCTGGTGACGGCGCATTTGACTGAGCTGTGGTGTCTGTGCCACTCACGTCACGCAGGTCAGGCTCCTTTGGTTTGTGGAAGTAAACTCGGGCAGCCTTTCCAGAAGCCGGGAGGAAGAGAGAGGCTGTGCAGAGTTTCCCAGAGTCCTGGTCCATTGCTGCTCCTGTAACAAAATACTGTGGACCGGAGGGCTGGGTGAGGTGGCTCATGCCTGTAATCCCAACACTTTGGGATGCTGAGGTGGGTGGATCACTTGAGGCCAGGAGTTCGAGACCAGCCTAGGCAACATGGTGAAACCTCATCAAAAAAAAAAAAAAAAAAAAAAAAAAAAAAAAAATGTATAGAAGACCTTAGACTGGGTAATTTATAAATAATAGAAATGTATTTCTCACTGTTCCAGAGTCTGGGAAATCCAAGGTCAAGGTGCCAGCACGTGCTGAGTCTGGTGGGTGCTGCTCTAGCCTCATCCTTCATCTTCGGTGAAGGGACAAACAGGCGCCCTCAAGCCCTTTTATAAAAGGGAACTCATCCCATTCATGAGGCAGGGCCTCATTACCACTTTACTTCCTAATGCTATCACAGTGGGGGTTAAGTTCCAGCTTGAATTTGGGGGGCACGGACTCTCAGACCGTAGCTTCATATACCCCACCTCCGACTGTCAGCCTGGGGACCAGGTAGCCACGAAGCACCTTCCCTGCTTCCCTGAAGCCTGCGGCACACTCCAAGTTGGCCAAAAGCAGAGGTGAGGTCCTGAGAAATTGCCATGCCCGGAGGGGCCTCTGCCTCCCTCGCTTTTTACAAGATTGCCTGCAGGGTGGAGCCTAGGGACCTCAGGGGTCCCAGAAGCCGGGCGTGGACAGAGCCGGGAGCACGCAGGCCTCCTTGGGAGAGGGTTGGACCACAGGTGATGTGAGGACCCGCTTCTAAGTGACAAACCCAAGGACAAAAAGCCAGGGGCACCCTGTGCTGGGGGTCAGTCCCCTCCCTTACTCTCTGAGGGATCACCCAGGTTCTGGGCTTGACCCGGGGTCCTTGTGAAGGTGGAGAGAGAGAGTCTGCCCTGTCCCTTCATGGTTTTACAGGGATGTTTTAAATAGTTATGAAACATTTCAAATGTAAATTGTAGTAAATACTAAAATAGACACCTATGCACCCACTTTTGAAATCAGATAGCAACATTGTAATTTTAAAGAAACGGAGGATTTCAAATCCAGCCACAGAAAGGAAAGAACTTCTGGGTCCAGGTATGGGAGGCTGAGGCGGTGGGGACCCAGTGGAGACCACAGCAAGGATGTGGGGTAGTCTCTGGCTGCAGAAGCCCGGTCGTACCAGCTCATGAGTTTCATCCAACTCCCGGGAGCCGGGGGGCAGAGATTGCACCTGCATTATAGGGATGGGGGCAGTTGCCATGTCCAGCCCCTGGGCTGTGTATGGCACGTAGCAGCGCGTCAGCCCTTGCGGCCTCCTCCTGAGCAGGAGGGTCTTGTTTCTAGTGTTGTACGTGAGACAGTGGAAGCTTAGAGAAGGAAAGGAACCACATCTCACAGCTGCTGAGGGGTGGAGGTAGGATTTGAACCCAGGACTGTGCATCTCCCAGCCGCGCTCCTGTGAGCACCACAGCATGTACAAGGTGGTCACTGGGCAGGTGACACGTCCCTGACACTTGCTTGGGAGGAGCATCCCAGAGGGTCTGCTGCTCTGGAGCCTGCCAGGCCCTCTGAGGCCTCCTCCCATCCCTGCTGGGCTCCCTTGGAGCTGTAGGCCTGCACCTGGGACCTCAGCAGCAGAGCTCCAGGCCAGTGCCCTCTTCTGCTTCTGCTTGGTTGGATCTCAGAGCCACCGTGGCTGGGGATAGCCCTCAGGACCTGGCCATCCTGCCTTCCCCTTTGGCTCAGGCTTCCCCGGGTGGCCACTCTCCCTGTCCTGTTGGGAAACCAGCTGGAGGGACAGTAAGGTCTCTACATGCTGAGGATTTGGGCTGGGAGCACCCCTCGGCCTGTGTGGCTCCGGCCCTGCTCGGTAGGATGCTGCTGGGAGGACTAAGCACAGAGCCCACAGGCCCCGTGTGGTGAGGGCTGGCTGCCAGGGAGCAAGAGGGGCTTCCCTTTGTCCTTGCCCACCCTGGACACACAGTGAGCCTCCTTGGTGCAGGGCTGAGCAGCGCAGGAGTGTGGGGCTGTGAAGCTTGTCAGTCCTTGGGGGTCTCAGTCTCAAACATTCCACCCTTCCCCACTCCGAGAGGCTCCGTGACTGTGTGGGATGCAGGCACAGGGGGCCTGGCTGGCTCTGGAGCTGGCTGTGTGGTGGGAAGATTGCCAGGAAACGCGGTGGTCAGCCCAGCCTCCAGGACGCAGACATGGCGCACGGGGGGCGGTGCGAGGACGGGTCCTGGGCTTCCGCTTGCCCATGAAGGACAAGGGAGGATCAGGGTACAAGGGCTTTCTGGGCAGGGAGGACTTGAAGGAAACCCAGGATATGCCCAGGGGTCCTGGGGGCAGCAGTGTGGACACAGGCGTGTGGTGGGGAGACCAGAAGGTGGGGCCAGGGAAGCTCCTGCAGGGCCTTCGGGCACCAGGTGGGAGGGGTGGCTTTCTCAGGAAGTGGAGGGGCTGTCAAAGGCTGTGAGCACCGGACTGTGTGCCCTGCAGGCTCAGGAAGGTCCATTTGTCCTTCCCGCTGGTGCCTGCATTACCGGCAGGAACTGTGCTCCCGGGTGGTGCAGATAGCTGAGGTCTGAGTGCAGGAATGTTCTGGAACCCTGCCAGAGCCGACATGGGCAGGTGGGCAGTCACATGCATCTCTGTCCTTGGGGAGGGGACCATCCAATTAGGGAAGCTGCCTGGGCTGGTGCCTGCCGTAACCCCAGCAGGGCTGAGAGGGCAGGCAACCATCCACAGGTCGCACCCGCAGCCTCTGCCTCCCGGAGGCCACTCTGTGCTCCTCGTGGCTCCACCACCCTCTCTGGCCACAGCGATTGGCCCCAGGCCAGTTGACTTACTTGACTTTGGGCTGTGACCTGGGTTGTGGAACATCTGTCCTCTGGGATTGAACAGGGAGATAATATGGGGAACCGTTAGTGGAAAGTGGCCCAGAGCGTGGCCGGGAGAGCAGGTTAGGAGGGACGTGTTCCAGATGCCGGTGGGAGGCCCACTGCCTGCTGACCACAAGAGAAGGGCCCTGAGTGCCTGACCTGCTTCTGACTCCTGGCTCCTGGGCCCAGCAGTGGAGCTGGTGGCCTCTCTGGGGCATGAAGCTCCTATCTACTGTGCCACTGCGCCAGGTCACTGTAGCTTCGGAACCTGACTGCCTACCCTTGTCTTCTTGCCCGGGACTCTGCTGACCAGAGGTGCTGGCTGGGAATGCTCTTGGTTGGGTGGTGTTTAGGGGAATTTACAGAATTATTTTAATAGTCTCCACACTTCCCTGGGGCTGCGACTCCCAGGCCCCTTCCCTTGTCTCCTGGGCCCTTTCCATCCCTCCTATAAGACAGCAACATCAGACAGTGGGAGATCCTGTCTCCAGGGCCCTCTTCTCACTGTGAGCCCTGTGAGCAGGGGGAGCAGAGACCCCATGACAGCCCCTGGCTGTCGGCTCCAGTCCTGGTGGAAGTCACCTCACACCCTCACTCAGGACTTTCTCTGTCCTGACTGCCCTTTTCTGAAGCAAAAGGCCCATGTGAAAGCCCTTCTCTGGGAGCCCTGTCCTCCGCCAGACAGCAGGAGTGAGCAGCTAAGCACTGCTCCCCATTCACGCCCTCGAGGAAGGGGCTGTCCCTATCCTCACCTCAGGGGAAGCAGCCAAGGGGCAGAGAGCCAGGGACTTGCCAGGGCAATGTGGGCTGAGCAGCCAGCCCTGTCATCGCTGCCCCGTGGGGCAGGAGGAGCTGCCTGCTTTTGGGTGCTGAAGTGGGCGGTTTTGTGGGGCTTGTGTCAGGGCTATTCCAGGCTCACCCACGGTGTCACCACCGAGACCTGCACCCGCCTCTTCCCCCCCCTTCTAGAGGGAGAAGTCTGGGGGCTTCAGAGCTGGCCCAGCTGCCGACCCTTCCTGCTCCTCCTCGCAGCTGGTGAACCGACTGGTGTACTCCGGCAGCGCGGACAAGACTGTCAAGTGCTGGCTGGCAGACACGGGGGAGCGTGTGCGCACGTTCACAGCCCACAGACGCAGCGTGAGCGCACTCAAGTACCACGCGGGTACCTGTAAGTGACCTGGCCCGGCGCGGCCTGCACCACCCCAGCCCGGCTTCTCCTCTCTGCTTCTTTACTTCCTGCACGATTTTCCCTCGTTGAACCTTGGCTGCCAATAGTCAGCATCCGATGGCAGCGCCTGTTCTTTCTCCACACCCCTCCCCATCTCTCCAGCTGTTTTGCAAAGAAGGTCCAAGTAAGGGTTTGGTGGCTCCTTCCTACCTTTCTTCCGGACAGCCTGGGAGACCTGATTGCTGGGAGGAACTAGGGCCAAAAGCATATCTCAAAGGGTACATCCTAAATCTCCAGGTGAGACAGTGACTGCCCCTTAACCATCCAGCTTGAGGGCCACATGGGCTTGACCTCACTTGACCTTAGGATTCATCGGCAGAGAAGAGAAATCCACGTAGCTGTGGTTCCAGTGAGGTAGTGGTTTATTTTCTCTCAGGTAGAATTTCAAAGGCTGGTGGTCTAGGCTGGAGTGGGTGGGTCCACAGTAATCAGGCACCCAGCTTTCTTCTGTCACTCTGCTTCGTCAGCCCAAGCACAGACCTTTTATGTTCAAAGAAGCCTTGGCCGGGCCCGGTGGCTCATGCCTATAATCCCAGCACTTTGGGAGGCCAAGGTAGGTGGATCACAAGGTCAAGAGACCGAGACCATCCTGGTCAACATGGTGAAACCGTCTCTACTAAAAAAAAAAAAAAAAAAAAAATTAGCTGGGCATGGTGGCGCACGCCTGTAGTCCCAGCTACTTGGGAGGCTGAGACAGGAGAATTGCTTCAACCCAGGAGGCGGAGGTTGCGGTGAGCCAAGATTGCGCTATTGCACTCCAGCGTGGGTAACAAGAGCGAAACTCCGTCTCAAAAAAAAAAAAAAAGAAAAGAAGCCTCATGACTCAAGATAGCTGCTACAGTGCCAGCCATCTGATGTTTTAGGCAGGCAGGGAGAAGAGAATGGAAGGACAAAAGGACACGTCTTCCAGCTGGGTTGGTCCCTTTAAGATCTTCCCTGGAAGCTTCATCCAAGGGCTTCTCCATACCTCTCTGTGACCATTCTGTCTGCAAGAGTAAGAATCATAAAGTCTTTTGTCTGAGGACATTGCTGCCAACATGGAATCAGGGTTATTTTGGAAAGAAAGAAGGGCAGAATGGCTTGTTGGGCAGGCAAAGAGCTGTGTTCCTGTCACACATCCGGGCCATTTGGCTCTACCTCTGGGAGGGAGGAGAGGGGGCGAGGGAAGAGTCACAGTGGAATGTTCAAGTTGACCTCACAGCAAAGGTGTTGGATCAAGATAGAGTGCAGATTTCTGAAAACAGCGCCTGACGTGCCCTCGGGATTCAGGTGTCTGACACGGAAAAATTATTTTTCCTTTGTTCCCGTGTCCAAGTCTGGAAGTGTGGTTATGGCTCTGCTCCCAAGTTTGGGTCCTCGAATTGAACACCAGGAAGGTTCTATTCTCAAAGTCTCTAGCTGGCAGCCGCCTAGAGCACCTCCCTGTGCAGCCGGGACGCGGAGCCCGCAGGGAGAGCAGAGCCTGCTGCCCACTGCTGCCCAGCTCGGTTCTTGGTCTTGGCCAGCAAGGCTGTGGGATGATCACACTTCATTTTTAATCCTCTTCCCACCCATGGGGAGCTCAGCAGCCATCCTGGGTTTTCCAGGCCATGTCCATTTGTCTCTGAGTTTGTGGGGAGAAGGCAGAAAGGAGCTGAAAAGAGACCCAGAAATGAAACTTACCCTCTGGGGCCATTCACTCTGTAGCTTTAACAAAAAGGCTGGGAACAGGCTGGGCACCATGGCTCATCCCTGTAATTCCTGCACTTGGGGAAGCCAAGGGGGAAGGATCATTGGAGCTCAGTAGTTCGAGACCAGCCTGGGCAACATAGAAGACCCTACCTCTACAAAATGTTTTTAAAAATTAGCTGGTAGCCAGGTGTGGTGGCGTGTTCCCGTAGTCCTAGCTTCTCAGGAGGCTGAGGCAGGAGAATTGCTTGACCCCGGGTGGCGGAGGCTGTAGCGAGCCGAGATTGCACTACTGCACTCCAGCCTGGCGACAGAGCAAGACTCTGACTTAAAAAAAAAAAACAAAAAAACAAAAAAACGCTGTTTATGGTGGTGCATGTCTGTAGTCCCAGGTTCTCAGGAGGCCGAAGCAGGAGGGAACATAAATCACTGTTAATCTTGAACTCCTTGATCCCAGGAGTTCAAGGTTAACAGTGATCTATGATCACACCACTACGCTCCAGCCTGGGCATCAGAGTGAAACCCTGTCTCAAAAAAAAAGGGCTGGGAACAAGTACCCTCAGACAGATAGGTAGCCCAGCACCCTTACCCCCAGGTGGTCCTACCCCCCTTTCCCCAAGGTCCCTGGCAGGCTTGCATCCCAGCTGCCCAGGGCAGTTATCTGCTCATTGACAGACCCCACAGTGCTTCTTCCCTCCCTTACCACATCCTATTTCCCCGTGAGCCTTTCCTGGGATGCCTGCCAGGTGAGCTGTCTGCTTGGGTCAGTTTCTGAGAGCCCAGCCTAGGCCAAGCGGGTTCTAGTCCACATCCCAGTGTGGCCTCCTGACCAGCAGCATCACCCAAAACCGGTTAGAAATGCAGATTCCCAGGCCCACCTGCTAAATCAGATTCTGGGATGCGGCCCGCGATCAGTGTCTAAGACCTCCAAGTGACGGATGCAGGTTGCAGCTGGAAAATGATTGGACTAAGTTCTTAGGGAAAACCCCAGGGAGAGGCAGTCACCTGCGGGAGGAGACAGATGGAGGGCGGAGGCTCGCCCCTGCTGGGGGTCCCGGGGATGCGTGCTCAGGAACCCCAGAGGGCTGGGTTTTGATTAGAGGGAGGGCCGATCCATTAATGAGTTCGGGAGGATGAGGCTGCCGATGCAGCGGAAGCTGAGGGGGGAGGAGACTTGAGGACCTGACGATTATCCCAAGGCAGGGACCTCCCACCCTCAGGAAACACCCGGCAGGGAAACCAACTTCACCAAACCTCGGAGTGGGGCCTGGGCCTTGGTGGGGCGAGATTCAGGAGGGGTAGGGCAGCTGGTGCGCAGGCATCCGCAGGGCTGGGCAGGATAACCGCGGGGACCCCTGTTTCTCTGGAGGGGCGCTGTCCACTCCCCATGTGAGCCTCAGGACACTCCCGTGGGGCGGGGACCCCGAGACGCCCGAGGTTGTGCTTTTGCCACCCGCCTCTGCCTGCGGGGGACGGGGCAGGGAGGGAGGCCCAGCGCGCCCTGTGTGTCCGCAGTGTTCACGGGCAGCGGGGACGCCTGTGCCCGGGCCTTCGACGCGCAGTCGGGAGAGCTGCGGAGGGTGTTCCGAGGCCACGCGTTCATCATCAACTGCCTCCAGGTAGGTCCCTCCACCCGGCCTGGGGCTGACGGGGAGGTGCGGCCCGGGCCGCCGCCTACGGGAGGGAGGGTGCTCCCGCCCCCATATGTCCATGCAGGCCGCCGTCCCCTTAACCCCCCCGCCTTGCCGGTGACGCCACCCCGTGCCCGCAGGTGCATGGCCAGGTGCTCTACACCGCCTCGCACGACGGCGCCCTGCGCCTCTGGGATGTGCGCGGACTCCGGGGCACCCCGCCGCCCACGCGCAGCCTCTCGCGCCTCTTCAGCAACAAGGTGGGCTGTGCCGCCGCGCCCCTGCAGCCCGCCTGAGCCCGCAGCGCCCCTGCGGATGCCCGCCCAGATGCCCTCCGGCTCCCAGAGCCCCCAGCCCTGTGCCCCGCGGCGGCGGCGCCGGCGCCCGATGGCCGGGGAGGAGCAAGGAGGCCCGGGCTGGAGGAGCACCCGGAGCAGGCATCTCGTTTTTCCTGGGTGGCCGTGAGGCGCTGGGAGCGGGCGTGTTCGCCCTGGGTACCGCCCGCTTTTTCCTTTTCGGGTGGCTCCTGCCCTCCCTCCCCACCCCTGACCCGGCGCCTAGTCCCCAGCCCTTCCTGGGACTCTCCCACCTCAGGGCTGCAGGCGGACTGCGCCGCGCCGGCACCCCCAGCCCCACGAAGCTGGGTCTCTCCTGCTGAGAGGAAGGGACTTTACAGAAGCCACTGAAATTGGTTGTTTCGGCAAATTGTCGTCTCGAGGGCCTTGGGGGGAACTGAAATACACAGCCTGTGAGTTAAAAGTGCTCCTGTGTCCTCTTGTTTTGCAAACTGAGTCTCAGCTTCTTTTCGGAGCTTGGGATTCCAGGAACCCAGGTCAGCGGGCTGCCTCCCACACCGGCCTGGGCGGCCTTGGGGGTGACTTGTGGGTGAGATGCAGGGTTATGGCCAGTGTCACTGGTGCAGTGAGTGGACGAGGAAGAGGCCAGGGAGAAAGGAAGCCGCTCTTTAGCCTGTGCAGGTGACAGCCGGGACCCTGCTTGGGAGTATCTGTCATTTTCTAGCATGAATCCAGGAGGTCCCTTCAGGGTCTGATGTGGAAAGGTGGGGGAGCTCATGCACAGGAGCCAGGGCGGTGCTTGGTGCTGGGGGGCACGCCACACACGCCAGAGCCACCAGCACCCAAGGGGAGTCCTGTGCCCAGAGGCTAGAGGGGCCAGTGGGGCCCAGTCTGCCAGAGGCCCTTCGGGAGACCCCTCAGCATCCCTCCCGGCACCTGCAGGGGGTTCTCTTGAGGCTCTAGGTGGTGCCACTTTCAGCATTCATGTGGCCCGGCTGGCCTGGGTGCCAGGAGAGAAGCTGCAGGTGACAGCGCCTGCGTGGAGGGCACAGCATCTCGCTGCAGAGAGAAGTGTGTGGTGCGGAAGCAGCCCCTTCAAGCGGAGCCGCCCCTTCAGGTAGAGCAGGGAGCACTTCGTCGTCTTTGTTTTCCCCACCAGTTGTTAAATGATCTTTATTGAAATCTTTTATTTTGTGCTTCTCAACTAGCTGGGCGTTCCACAGCACCACTGTTGATTCATCTATGATGTCATGAGGGTGGCGGCCATGAGCATTATGGCCCACAGACTGGGCAGTTCCCAGGATCTCTTTAATAGTTCCAGAGAGTTCTCTGGCTAGAGATCGGTGCTGCATCTGTCGAGCAATGTTGACAATCTCATGGAAAGTGATATTCCCGCTGTGTTTAATGTTTTCTGGGTTTTTTTTCTGTCTCTTGGTGGTTCCTTGAGGGCTTTGATGATCTGGGCCTGTCTGTTCTGAATGGTCAGTTTCACTGTAATCCTCAGGCCCTTCCAGTCACTGGTTGCCTTGGCAACGTTATCACCAACCTTTTTTGGAGACAGACCCAGGGGGCCAATCTTGGGGCCCAGCACAGAAGTGGCACTGACTTCACCCCTAGTGCACCTCAGGTAAACCTGAGGCATGCGGGTTCCCAAGCCACCACAGGAGGTCCGGTCCTCCCTTCCCACTTACACGTGGAGAAGCTAAGGCCCAGAAAGGCTGAGGCTTGGCCAGGATGGCGCAGCACCGGAAAGGCCTCTAAGATGCAGCGGCGGGGCCTGTGGTTGCAGAAAGGGGCGTTCCTCCCAGAGAGGAGCTTTCCCTTGTGCCGAAGGGAGGTTCTGGAGGCACGCAGAGAACCACCTTGAGTGCTGCCTGTGGGCAGTGCTGCCAGCCAGCCCTGGGCCTGTGCAGATGCTCACACTGACTTCTGGCTGCCAAAGACACTGCTGCTTGGTGATGCTGTGCTCTGGCCTGAGCAGCCCTTGCTGACACGTCAGCTCTGGTCCCCACCTAATCTAACCACAGCAGAGAATGCAGCAGGCATCAAGCCATCCAGAGAAACCCAGTGGGCTGCAGACCTGAAACACAGGCGCTGCACTCACTCTGCATGTTGATAGCACCACGCATTGGGGTGATTTCTGCTTCCACCACACAGAGAGCTTTGCTAGATGTTGAGGACATAAAGATGGCCAAATGACCATTCTTTCTCTGGTTTCTGAGAGCCCGAGAGACATGGTGAGTGAGAGGCTCGGATGCCCTGATCCAAGGCCTGGTCCCCTTCCAGCCATACCACTGCCAATTTGCTGTGAAGGAAGAAACGAGGTGTCTGCTTCTGATCAATTGAGTTGGCTAAGGGAGGAAGGGCAGGAGCTACCCTTAGGACAGACGGGCAGGACCAGCATCAAGAACACCTGGCGAGTTGTGCACACCATCACGCAGGTGTGGGCTGCCCTCACCTGCCTGCCATGCACCCATGCCCGTTTCTGCTCCTCTCACGGCACCCAGCCTCCCTCCCTGCTGTGACAGCATCAGCAATCATGCCATCCGTCCCCAATTTTCTCTCCCCACATACTGTCCTGCCCCAAATACTAATTTGTCCCACATCTGGAATGTTCTTTTTCCTCTGATTCTCCAAGGAGAACCCTCCCAGGGCCCCGCCTCTGTAACAGCCTCTCCCTCTCCAGCCTCAGCACCTCCTGCCCCTCCCTCCACCACCTGTCCAGTTTCACAGGGTCAGTCATAGGTGGCGCAGGCTCAGCCCGAGTCTCCATCCCTGGAGGACAGCCTGTCTTGGACACAGCATGCCCAGAACTGCTCCCCACAGCCGGCTTCCTGTGCAGCTCTCTCCACAAGACACGGAATAGCATTGGGGTCTGCTGGTGTGGCCCTGCCTCTATGATGGCTGAAAACAGCTGGGAAGCTAGAAGCCACGCCCAAACCAAGCTCAGGACAGCGACTTGTTAGCCAAAAGCTGCTAATCAGGCCCAAATCTAAGTGTGACATTGTCTCAAATGAGGCTGAGACTCGGCATCACTTCAGCTCACTGGGCACTTCGAGGCAAACCCTGACAGGTGCATTGCAGTCCCCGGCCCAGGGTCCCCCCCACACCCAGCTTTGCATGCGGCATTGTTCACAGCACATGCCCTCTGCTGCTGCTCAGGTCATCCTTCCATTGCCTCACAAAACTCACTGGAAACAAACATCTTGCAATCAAAATGAAGTGCTAGCCACCCAGACCCTTTCCACACCTACAGCTGGGGAGGCTGAGTAACGTACTGCAGAGTTAGGCTGACAATTTTGGAATATATTTTCCACCTTTTATTTCCATCAGTATCATCCATTTAAAAAGAATCACAAGAAGATTCCCATCAGTCCAAACCGGAGCACCCATGCTTTATGAAAAAGTGGAAGCATTTCAGCCGGCCCCACATGACCTATCCTGCCTTCCATCAGAGGAGCTTCTAGCGCCTTCCGGAAGGCAGGAGAAGTCTCAGATGCACTGGCTGCTGCTGGGGTCCTGGCGCTGGAAGGAACCCCCACCGAATGCATGTCACAGGAGTGCGAGGTGCAGTGAGGACGCTTCCTGAAGCCGACACACAGCGAACCACATGCTTTTAGAAAGCCTTCTGTCACACGGTTAGAACCCAAAACTCCACAGAAAACCTGGAGAAAATATATCTAAATCTCTGATAGGTCTCTTAGCTAGCAGTGAGTTCACTATGGCAGCATAGAGTCTAAAAATACTAAAAATAAGTTGCTTTGGTTAGCATTTACACCTTTCCCATTCAATAAAAGATTTTTGTAATGAGGAATGTTGAATATATATCAAGTCTGACACTCAACCTGGAATTTTGGGGGCATATTTTACTGAGCTAAGAGCAGAAAACACCGATGTCCCAGGCTGAAGGCATCTGCTGCAACCTGCTTTGGCCCCCGAGGCCTGCGCCTTGGCGTTACGCCCCACAGCAACTGGGAGGAAGACTTAAAGTATATGTTGAGGGGCGGGGGAAGGGGGCCCAGGAACCCATGGGGCACCCTGGCAGAGATGGTAGCGGGGGAAGCAGGAAAGCCATGGGCATCAGGTGCAGGCGAGCCGAGCAGATGGAGCTGGGGCTGGAGAAGAAGCGGTCCGGGCGCCCTTCCCAGGACCCGTTCTGCAGCAGCCAGTCTCCTTCCTGCTTCAGCGTGAAACATCAGGCTGGGGAGGGTTTAGGGATGCACACCCGGGAGGCAGAAGGGGCGGCCTGCGCTGGGCCAGAGGAAGCTTCTTCCCCGAGACCACGCGTGAAGGCCCTGGGACCCTTGCTGGCCTTATCCCCTGCCCGTCCCTCCTACACCAAAGAGGACTAGCAATTCAGACAAAAAGTAAGAACAGAAAGACCTGCATTCGCCTTTTCAGAATGATAACATTTATAAGCAGAAACTTCGTACTTATTCCTGTTCAATATCTAGTTTTCCTTTGCTGCTGACTTTGTATTTTCTACGTAGGATAGGTACTCTGCGATAGTAATCTCTTCATCTTCCAGAGTTGAGTCGAGGTAGTCCTCCTCGTGCTCTGGAATGTCTTCCAGAATCTCATTGACAGCCTCTGTCTCCATGTCTTCGTCTGTTGAGGCACTGGAGGTTCCTACAATCAAACACCGCAGGAGTGAGTGAGTTATGTGAGGACTGTCCTGGGCACACGCATGACCACAGTCAACCTCAGACTGTGCCTCCTGCGGGCCACACTGTCCAGGAGGCCGGCCCGGCGACACCACAGGACACCCCTCTCAGTCTCCACGTCTGCCGAGGCCCAGGGCACAGGCCCCATCTGTTGGCTTCTGAAGACACTTTGCTCTCAACACGGCCCTCAGAGACTCACACCTACCTGCGGAGTCTGAAGGGGATGTGGCTGGCGAGGACAAGGAGCCTTCTGGCGAAAGCGGCAGCTCAGCAGGCAGGCTTCCTCCGTTGTGAGCAAGGGTCTGGGCAGCCAGCTGGACGTTGCCTCTGAATACTCTCAGTGCAGCTTCGGCCACAAGTGTGTCAAAACCCATGTACACCAGCTAGGGGAGAGCACAGGGGTCATGGCACCGGACCTGGCTCACCTCTGCCACCCCCGTCACCCACATGGGTGGACAGCCGGCTCTCGTGCTGAAGAGCTCCCGGCGTGCACACCATGGCCCTTTCTGCACAAGTCGTGCTTCTGGGCCAATGTGAGCATGGAGCAACCTGGAGGGGGGCTTGGAAGACTTGAGTCGGGTGCGCCAGTGAGCAGCCATCTCAGGACAGGTGATGACCTCGACTGAAGCAAGGGGGCCATGCCAGCCTCACCACACGCACTGCGAGGTCAGCAGCCACAACACACAGGCACACTAACGTGTGTGGGGGGCAGACAGCCGTTGCTTGGGACAGAAAGCCAGATGGGTTTCACAGGACACAACAACATCCTTTTAGGTCACAGGCAGGGAAATGGGCTGATGTAAACCGTGGTGCATAGAAGAGGGAGGCAAACCTGAAGGGAACCTCCTGATGCCTCCCCAGTTTTCCTGCTCTCCCCTGCCCTCTGTTGCTGCGTGGGTGGCCTCTGAGGCGGGCAGGTCACACCTGGAGCCTGGGAGCCGAGTTTTAGCATGGACTTCCCTGGTCCTGCTGCCGGGTGACCCCAAGCAGCCCCACCCGAGGCTGTCCGAGCTGAGGGCACACAGGCGTGTCACTCACTTGGTCAATGTTTTCCTGGGAAGGACTTTCCTGACGGTTGTTGGTTTCAGGATTGGAATCGTTTAACCACATCAGAGGATTGCTGAGCAGAATCTAAAACACGCAGGAACAGGCTTTACCCATCACGAAGAACTCATCACACGCTCAGACAGGCACCACACCCTGCCGTCCTCCGCTACTCAGGATGCAGGGATGGAAAGGGGCTCCCACCCAGAGACCATGACAGAGCTGGGGTTTGAAGGAGGAGCAAGACTAGCCAGGGGAAGGATCCTTCTGATAGAGCAGGAAGGATGGAGGGCAGGTAGAAGCAGCATCCCAGAAAACATGTTTTGTCAGGGCTACGAGGCCAGGAAGAGCTACAGACAGAAAGGTCTCTTCCGCAGCTCAGGGCTGCCTGATCTCTGAAAGCGTCATGCCCTCTAGACTTAAAATGTCGGCAGGAGGGTTACTTTGACCCTTGATTTCTTCATCAGACAATACTTAGTCTTAAACACCCTTGCGGAGACTTTCCTTTCCAACACTCAATACTTCTGTGTTGATTGAAAGCATTTACGTGCCACTTGTATAATTAAAATCTATTTTGAGACCCATCAGTCCCTTCGGATATTCAGATTTTCCTGCCTCTTTAATATTTCTCTAACACAAAAAAATCAAACTAGATATTCAAATAAAATTTTAAAGTTGAATATGTTAAGTATACATATACATAGTAACAAAAGTACTGACTCATGGAGCCTTCTGGGGAACAGGGCAGAGGTGAGGCAAAGGCAGGGTGGACTCCCTGTTCTGGCTGTACCCACAGCCCTGCCTTAGCAGGGCAAACAAGAGGACACCTGCCCTGCCCCCTACCCCCCTCCAACCCCATCTCTGCCCCCCAGCCCCACCCCCAGCACACGCACAACCTAAGCCAGCTCCTGCCGCCCCCGCCCCACTGCTCGCCACGCTGCGCCAGCATCTGCCTAGACTGCTGCCTCCGCACAGCCAGCCCCTGCCTCCCATGCACCCCTCAGGACCCCCCACCGCGTGTGCTCCTGCGGGGTTGAGAAGGCAGAGGGTGGTTCCATGCCAAGCTGCTGAGACGCAGCATAGCACCCGGCCTACTGAGGATTCGATATGCTTCTCCAACACGGGGAGGGAGCTGGCCCAGGGAAAGTCACTGCTGTCTGGATCCCCACCTGCTGTCACTCGTGAGGGTTTCATTGAAAAGCTCCCCCTTAGTCGACATGTCGTGTGGACTAAATAAATAAAACTAGATACTTACATTTAAAATTGTAACGCCGAACCCTACAGTTAAATTTCCCTTCTCTTTTTCTGCTGTGGGAACTGTGCCCGTGTACATTAAACTCTGCTGCACACGGAAACCCTCCACAAAGTCCCGGCCTGTGGACTCTGCTGGTGTGGACAGGCACCAGGTTCCTGAGCCAGGCCTCTGCCAGGCACTGAACATGGGGCCTCATGGGGCCTCACATGGTCTCTGGGCTGGAGACCCGGAGAAAGCTGCCCCTCAAATCCGGATGATGGGGTAGCCCATGGGAGTGAGCTCCATGAGCCTGGGAGGATGCTGGAGAGCCATGAAAGGAGCTCTGGGCAGGACCCAGTGCTCAGGGACAAGGCCAGAGGCCACTACCTTCAGGGCCTCGTCCAGGTTCCCGCTGGCCACGTGGAGCGCCTGCTGGGCTGCGTGCGTGGAGTAGCCCATCCCTTTCAGGGACCTGATCTTCTCCAGGTGGCGTCTTTTCTTCTCTTTTTCCTCCTTCCTTATTTGGGCCAGTTCCTTTAGGAAAACAGCAAAGTCCCATACCAAGTTAGGGACTGAGATTTCACAGACAGCCTCCTGATCTATGCTCTGCAGGATTCTTGGGGTTCCCAGGCAAAGCCACAAAACCAAAGCACAGCACAGGGGATCCATCTCCACCTCTCCAGCCAAGCGGGGACCTATCTCCACCTCTCCAGCCAAGTGGGGACCTATCTCCACCTCTCCAGCCAAGATGGGACCTATCTCCACCTCTCCAGCCAAACGGCAGAGGCGCCACAAGAGCAGAGCGGTGGTGGGTGCTGCTTCTGACGGCAAGCAGAAGTGACACGCCCGTCACCAACCCCACCAGCCACCATCCAGCATCAGGATGGGCCCAACCCAGTGCTCCCACCGCAGAGGTCGCAAGCGAGAGGTGCACAGATTCTCTTCTAGGAGCCGGGCAGAAGAGCTCCCTGCACTCTGATGAATTGCCCAGGGACTCAAGTTAAAATGTGATGTGGAATCCGTGGGAGGTAGGGGACACCTGGGCCATGCCAAGGCTGATGACCCACCCACCACAGTCTGGGGAGCAAGGACTCCAGGGCCTTCCGGGGACTGTCTGTTCAGAACCCACAGAATGCTCAAGGGATAAAGGTCGTCTGACCTCTTGGTTCTCAAGCCTGTTTCTCAGAGGTGCCTGCTGTGGCTGCAGAGGGTTCTAGTCTCTTCACCTCTCCCACCCAGGGCCAATCAGGAGAGTTCCCAGTTGGTTTTGTAAGCTAATATGCCCATAAAAATGTCATTTAAAAATGGGATTTTGCTGCTTAAAAACCACCACCACAACAAAGCAGGTTTGAAATCCTGGAATTTAATCCAACCTCATTATTTTGCCAACAAGGAGACAGAAAGCTTTCAAAAAAGTTCAGTGACTGCCACATTCTCCGGGGGAGACCAGACCCTCATCAGCAGCAGTGAGCATGGGGGAGGTAACAGACTCCTCTCCTTCCAGAGACCTGCGCCTGCCTCCTGCCCAGCCCCAGTAACAGACACCTGCTTGGATTTTCCCCACAGCAAGAAAGTGGCCTCATTTATTAGGAAAACAGAAGCATCATCGTGGAACCAGACTCCACAGGGCCTGCAGCAGGAGCAGACAGAACAGAGTGGCTGCTGGGAACAGCTCCAGGGCTGAAGACATTTGGAGACTCATGCCCTGTCTCTATCAGGGGAGACCCCCCCAGTGTGCCCCTGGAATGCCCCCAGCGCCAGCTCCCTTTGCTTTCCCTTCAGCTGCACCAGGCCTGTCTCATGCTCCCGTTGAGTTCCTGACCTCTCAGCGGCCAGTCTCCCCCAGCTCCAGCCCCGCTGCACAACGCAGTGGGCTCCGTCATTCCAGCCACCTACCTGAGAGACTGCAGCCACTCCTATCACCCCCCACACTCTGGCAACAGTTCCTCATGCTGTCACGGAGGGCCCCCACGCCTGGCCCCAACAATGTTTCCAAACTGACCTTATCCTGCCACACTGCCAACCATGCACACCAGCAGGTCTTTCATGCCACTCCCATTTCCACTTATATTCACATAGACTCCACGGAAAATGCCTTTACTGGCCCCATCGTCTGCTTTCAATACAGTTTCTTCCATTTGTATTTCAAAAGGCTAAGCAGCACGCCTAACATTCAAGCATAGCGAAGGATGCTGCCAGGCAGCAGACCTGGGCATGACCTGACACAGACCTCACATCAACTGGGACATTCGAAGAACATCCTGTCATCACAAATGTCTTCGTTTCCTTCTAATCACGTAGACGCACGTGAGAAAATTAAAGTATGTTCTAATACTTCTCTATACCAGGATGAGTTAGAAAGATAACGCAGATCGAATCAGTGACAGTGAGTGCCGCATTGCAGCGGCTAGAGTAGTCAGGTCTCAAGAGAGAGGCGCTGTATGGTCGAGACAAGCTGGGCCCACCAATTAGGAAGGCTGCCTCAGGGCCTGGTCATACTGAGGCACGAGCTTCAGTCTCCGTGTCTACAGTCTGCTGCTTTTCCCAGATGCGAAACTGGTCTGTACTCAAGGCCATGTTGCACAAAAAATATAAACTTCCAAGAATTATGTATTAAAGACTGGGTGCAGTGCTGCACACCTGTAATCCCAGCACTTTGGGAGGCCAAGGTGGGAGGACCGCTTGAGCCCAGGAGTTTGAGACCGCCCTGGTGAGACCCCTTTTCTACAAAAAATTGAAAAGAAAAAAAATAGCCAGGAGTGGCAGGAGGCTCACTGGAGTCCAGGAGATAGACTAAGGCTGCAGTGAGCCATAATCATGCCACCACACTCCAGCCTGGACAACAGAGCAAGACTCTGTCTCAAACAAACAAAAGAATTGTGGCCAGGCGCAGTGGCTCACACCTGTAATCCCAGCACTTTGGGAGGCCGAGGCGGGCGAGACCAGCCTGACCAACATGGTGAAACCACATCTCTACTTAAAATTTAAAAATTAGCTGGGCGTGGTGGCACTAGCCTATAATCCCAGCTACTCAGGAGACTGAGGCAAGAGAACTGCTTGAACCCAGAAGGTGGAGGTTGCAGTGAGCCAAGATTGCACCACTGTACTCCAGCCTGGGGAACAGAGTGAGACTCTGGCACACACACACACACACACACACACACAAATGGTTTTACATTCAGCTGAGATGCTCAAACCCAGAACCTTGGAACTCAGAGGAAAGCAGATTTTTCTCACTCATCTAAAGCTCATCTAAAGCTCTGCTAGGAGCTCATTTTCTATGGGACATGGTTTTTGTCTTCCCAGCACCCATTCTAGCCCTTCCTGAGGCGTGGGAGGCTGCTCCAGCTCCCCAGGTGGCCCCTGAATGGGCCAAGGCAGCAACCCTCTATCTCTCGCCACAGGCCAGGCTTGGTGTTCCTCCAGCTCAGGGACTGGGTCAAGGCTGCCCAATTACAAACAGCTTAGGATTTTCACTGAGGATTCTGGGACAGAGATTATGCTCCTTGGTGTGACTGGATGACACTGATGACATGGGGCAGGGGATGGGGGTAGACAGCAGACCTCAGGTCCTCGGTGACCTCAGTAAGCCGCTGAATGAATCAAGTAACCCTGAGACCTATCCTACTTCTGGACTTTTTACAAGTAAACAGGCCAATAAATCCCACCACATCCATTTTTATGATGTTTAGTCCAGTTTGAACTGGGTTTTGTTGCTGCTGTTTTCAGCCAAAAGCATCCTAACAACAGCCATTGGGTGGAAGAGGGAACAGGGTCAACTGCACCATACACACTGTAGTTTTTTTAATCTGCATTTTCCCCAAGGGCTTTTAACTTCAGAAATGTACACGTGATATGACTCCACTATACTTTAAAAGACTGCCTCTGCACTACAGCTCTTCTGAGTTATGAGATGAGAAGTATCTGTCCTTGTGGCCTCTCGGGTGGTCACAGGCAGAAGTGAATGACGAGTGTGACGATGTTTATGAACTATAGTTTCATACAGCGATGAGAACTGTTGTCCAAATGACCTCATTCTAAAACACTGGCTTTCCGGATGCTAATAAAATCTCACTGGTAGTGGAGTAACAGTGGAGTAACAAATCAGTATCAGCAATGTTCCTTTTCCTGTTAGTACTGAATTAGAGCATGTAACACTCAAACACACAGAACTCAACTTTTCAGCCAGGTGCAGTGGCCCACGCCTGTAATCCCAGCACTTTCAGAGGCTGAGGCGGGCAGCTCGCTTGAGGTCAAGAGTTCAAGACCAGCCTGGCCAACATGGTGAACCCCATCTCTACTAAAAATACGAAAAGTAATTGGGCGTGGTGGTGTGCACCTATAATCCCAGCTACTTAGGAGACTGAGGCAGGAGAATCTCTTGAACCTGGGAGGCGGACATTGCAGTGATCACACCACTGCACTCCAGCCTGGGTGACAGAGTGAGACTCTTGTCTTGAAAAAAAGAGAATTCAGCTTTTCAGTCTCTGCCTTTGCCTACTCATTGACTTCTACAGCAAGACCCAATGGAGCACAGTTGGACTAGGTGAGAAAGGTAACGGCCACAGCTGGTGTTGTAAAACGAGAGGCCGCAGCAGCCCCGTGTCTGGGTCACCTCGGAATCAACCCAGGAATCCACTCCCTCTCCGCCATCAGGCAGGCAGACAACCATGGGACTTCTCTACTCCCCTCCAAATACCCCGATGCTGCTTTTTGCCTTCAGGATTATCCTAGTGTTTAGCAAAAAGAGAAGCAAGAGATAACATACATGTGAAGATTCTAGAGACTTCTTTGGTTGGAGTTGTGGACAGAAAGGACCTGTGAGATAATCTAATACCAACTTCTTGTTTTGACAAGAAAAATGTTTCTCCTGCTAATATTCCACCATTACCTCCCTCCAGACCTCAGTTCTTTCACTGCAAACTTAACATATTGGGTAGAATAAGGATCCTTCCAACTCCAAAATTCTACGGTTTTCTTTAATGTATGTAATTGTTTCAAAGTATTACAGTTTTTTAACCTGTGCTCATAATATAATACAACTTGTTTCTATGGTTGGACTCATGTTTCTAGGCAAGGATGCAATCCCCAACTTTAATAATAACCCCAGGAAAAAATAATTTTCTGTTTTTAAAATGACTTCCAGAAACACACTATGATGTTAGAGAAAGAGAGAGAGGGGGCTGTCTGCACAACCTGCCACCACGGCAGGAAGCAAAACTAAGGAGACTGTAGCACGTGAAAAATGATCTGATTAAAAAGGCACGTTTCGGCCGGGCGCGGTGGCTCACACCTGGAATCCCAGCACTTTGGGAGGCTGAGGTGGGCACATCACTTGAGGTCAGGAGTTTGAGACCAGCCTGGCCAACATGGTGAAATCCCGTCTCTACTAAAAATACAAAAATTATCCGGGTGTGGTGGCAGGCACCTGTAGTCCCAGCTACTGGGGAGGCTGAGTCACAAGAACTGCTTGAACCCAGGAAGGGGAGGTTACAGTGAGCCAAGACCACACCATTGCACTTCATCCTGGGTGACAAAGGGAGACTCCGTCTCAAAAAAAAAAAAAAGACGAGTTTTTCTCCTTCCTTTCCAATCTGGAGTAATAAAGAGTTCCTTGTGATTAACACCTTCTATGGGATTATCTTCTTTTGTTCTTTCATACTCGAGTGCTGGGGCACTGTGAAAGTGGGTACCTCTCTGCGGTTGGTAATATGAGTGGCCGCATGATCCACGTTCCCATCACACGCCCTCAGGCCAAGCCGGGCTTCCTGGGCAGTAAATCCCAACTGCAACAAATTATCAACTTTTGATGGATCAATATATAGCTCTTTAAAGAGCTGCTGTGCCTAGAGACAGGGAGAAATGTAAGAATCATGTAACCATAGCAATACTTACAGCTTAATACAAAGCAAAAGCCTAAAAGAAATTAAATTGTACCCAGTGTGAATTAAAGGGCATGGGATTTTGGATAAAATCTCTAAACTTGACCTATTAACAGGTACGAATGGAAACAGATCAGCACTATTACCACAACACAACAGGAGGAAAGAGGCTGTGTGTTGCGGAAGTGACTGGTATCCATTTTGTTTTTGCAACAAACACCCCCGAATTTGAGCTGTGCACATGGCATTTCTCACCCTCCTGTGCAGCAGGGTGTAGCCAGGTGGTCAAGTCTAGGTCAATGGCATGCAGCCAGAGCGCTGGGTGCAGTGCTGGGTCAGCTCTCGAGCGGCCTGCTCTGCACTTTCTTGCCCCCTCTGCTGGCTGGAAGAGGCACTGACAGGAGCAACCTGGGACGCCGGGCGCCCAGCTCACCTCTAGAGCCATCAACTTCTATCCCATCAAAGTCACTGTCTTTCTGAAGTCTCCTTATTACAGCATCTGGCCTGTACTCTAACAAATGCAAATATGTTTCTGGTCCAACATCTCTCTCCTGTGCACGGAGAAAGGGCAGCATGTTTCTCACAAGTCACAAACTACAAGTTAAAATCCTTAACTTCCGGGAATGTTTTCTAAAAGCAGGTGAAAATGGTTCCAACTGTACTTTTCTTACCTTGTTAAGACACTCCCGAGCCTCTACATCGTTTCCACTGTGATAGTTTCGGATACCTTGAAGTAAGTAGAGTCTTAAAAACAGTACCTTCTCTTTCCCACAATTTCCCTAAAATTATTGGAGAAAAAAAAGGATAAAATTGCCTTATTTCCATATAGTCCTATAATACTCATATCTGTAATTCCCTTTGTCTCTAGAAGGGCAAAATGGTGATGTTAAAATGTGCATAACTTCACTATGACTGACGGCAAAAGTGAAGCCCCCTCTTCCCCGCCCCCTGTGGTAGGATGACATTCCTCATAACAGACAGGAGAGGTGCCAGAGCACCAGCCTCCAGACATCCAGCACAGCGGCCCTTTAGGTCAGCAGAGAAGTATGTCAAAATCCGAACCAGGTATAAGAGAGCATAAGCAGGATGTTGATGACTTGTGGGAATCAGAAAAATCCTTACTTGAGCCACAGCTCGTGAGCTGTGACTCATTCACGCAAACGGTTCCTGCTGAAATGTCTATTCTCTGCATTGACAGCTTGCAAGTTAGACTCTACCGACAGAAAGAAGTCAGCAGCTCTCTCCTGGTCAGGGTGATCGTGGTGGGGTTTCTATAACCAGCAAACCGTGTTCCTCTGGGCTAAACGCCCACACACTAAAGAGAACAGCCAGATTTGTGAAACGTTGGATACTTTAGAAATATATAGCTTAGAGGCCGGGCGCGGTGGCTCATGCCTGTAATCCCAGCACTTTGGGAGGCCGAAGCGGGTGGATCACGAGGTCAAGAGATCGAGACCATCCTGGTCAATATGGTGAAACCCCGTCTCGACTAAAAATACAAAACTTAGCTGGGCACGGTGGTGTGTGCCTGTAATCCCAGCTACTCGGGAGGCTGAGGCAGGAGAATTGCCTGAACCCAGGAGGCGGAGGTTGCGGTGAGCCGAGATTGCACCATTGCACTCCAGCCTGGGTAGCAAGAGCGAAACTCTGTCTCAAAGAAAAAAATAACTCCAGAAATATATAGCTTAGAAAGAGTCCACTGCATACTCCTATCAACATCAACTCACCTCTGGCAGTAATTCAACTGCTTGGGCAGAAATAAATACAAATGCTAGAAATGAACTCAACAAGATGAAAATGAATTCCAGAAACATACTTTTATGTGGACCAGTCTCTGATGATTTTCTCCATAACAATTTTTAAAGCATTTCTGGGCCAAGTTTAATTTTTTTTCTGCATCATCAAGGCATTCCAGTTGTTCCAGGCGGAAGTAGCACCACACGATGTCCAGCTGGAGCACGGCGTAGTTATCTACCGTGTCCAGCAGCTCTCGGCAACACTCACTGGAAACAGAAGGGGAATGACATCACTGCCAAGCAGCATCTGAAACCTTTTTAGCATCTGAAACCCTTTTCTGAATTACTGGAATTCTTTCCCAGTTCTTGGTATATGTTCAAAGGCTGACTGCTCTAAGAGAGAGCCTAATATTTAGGAAGGAAGCTCTATTTTATAATCTCATCCTGCTAATGGAAGAAAAGAAGGGAAATCAGAAATCAGGGCTTAGGAATAAAAGCTTACCACCACTTGCCCCAGGACATACAGGCAGCACCTTGACAGGAAGCAGAACCCAGGGCCACTGTTTCAAGAGCCCTCAGGAAACACGGGGAGGACCATGCTTTAAAGCCGCGACTTCAACCCTGACTGCAAATCAGCATCACCTGGACAAGAGCAACTTCCTTTTTTTTTTTTTTTTTTGTTTCGCTCTTGTTACCCAGGCTGGAGTGCAATGGCATGATCTTGGCTCACCGCAACCTCCACCTCCTGGGTTCAAGCAATTCTCCTGCCTCAGCCTCCCAAGTAGCTGGGATTACAGGCGCATGCCACCATGCCCAGCTAATTTTTGTATTTTTAGTAGAGATGGTGTTTCACCTTGTTGAAGGGGATGGTCTCAATCTCTTGACCTTGTGATCCACCCGCCTTGGCCTCCCAAAGTGCTGGGATTACAGGCGTGAGCCACCGTGCCCAGCCTTTTTTTTTTTTTTTTTTAAGAATCATTGATCCCACCTAGATCAAATATGACAGAAATCTCTGGGGTTGGGCCTGGATGTCATAGTTCCAGAGTCTCCCCAGGTGATTCTAATGGATAGCCAGGCTGAACACCTCTTCTTTAAAGACACACCAAAAAAAATCACTACTATGAATGCCTCAACTGATGAAGGCTCTGGCAAGGCATTCAGGTTCAACCACGTTCAAGCTGGGAGGAAAAGCAATCCAGAAAGCGCCAGGTTCTAACCGCCCAGCCGATTTCTGAGAGCCTGCGTGCAGGCAACACACAACTCTGCAGCCGTGGCAGCAGGCTGAACCCAGGCGTGGAGAAGGGAAGAAAGACAGCAAGAGACGTCAGTATGGCCCAGGAGGGGAGCTGACAAACAGCCTTCCAGATGACTGATTTTAAGTTACATTACATTACAAATTCCTAATGCCAATCTAGGTCTCAAGTCTTCAGTAAGAACATTTGGAACCACACATCATACATGAATAACCTTTAAAGGTTTTATCTCTGTGTTCATTGGTATTCTAAAAGACCACCCTTGTATAAAACTACAAAATCCACATGGCTGAAAGCTTCCTGTCCTGCCTATCAAAATACGCTTGGAATTAAAAAAAAAAAACAAAAAACAAAAAACTAAAGGACTTTTATTTTCTCGTTTACCCTGTAAAACAATAGTCTCCTAAAGAGGGCCCCTAGAGACAATCCAGTTGGGGGTGGGGCGAGAAAAATGTATCACAGCAGTATTTTTATATTTATTTTCGTCTCTTTTAACATTTCTAATTTTGTGAATGTTTGAGCATCTGCACCATATTTTACACACGTGCGCACAGATACACACAAATGTGGGGCTGGGTGAGGGCACTTTCTCCACATCCACTGCTTAGCCTGAGAAGGGGACCCCGAAAGAAACAGCAGCACTCTGTGGACTGTGGTCTGATCTCACAGTCGCGGTGACAGTTCCTGCCTCTGGACACTTTCTGGTTTCTGGGACAGCAGACTCTGCCACTCACTCAAGAAAGCAGTGGGCATGTGGCCGAACCTCTCCAGCTACTGCGTGTTGCTCTATGGGCTCGCTCATGTTTCACTAAGCATCAAGAGCGTGGGCAGAAATGGCCTCATGTCAGTTACAAATAAAATCAACATGCGCTTATCTCAAGTCTGACCCAGAATCGAGTATTTCTTTGTGCAGACAAAAAGAAAAGAAAAAAACAACAAAATGAACAAACACACACACAAAAACAAAGCACAGGTCTCATATTAGAGGTGTACATGTCATACTTTTAGTTTTAAGAAATCAACACTTGGTCGGGTGTGGTGGCACGCTTTGTAATCCCAGCACTTTGGGAGGCCAAGACAGGTGGATCATGAGGTCATGCGTTCAAGACCAGTCTGTCCAACATGGTGAAACCCCGTCTCTACTGAAAAATACAAAAATTAGCTGGCCATGGTGGCTTGTGCCTGTAATTCCAACTACTTGGAAGGCTGAGTTAGGAGAATTGATTGAACTGGGACCCGGGAGGCAGAGGTTGCAGTGAGCTGAGATCACACCATTGCACTCCAGGCTGGGCTAGAGTTGAGACTCCATCTCAAAAAAAAAAAAAAGAAATCAACACATTGTTATATATAAGTCTATATTTAAACTTGATCATTTGCTTGGGGGAAAAGTGGTGGTTTTTTTTTTTTTGAGACAAATTTTTTTTTTTCCAGTGATACAATCTTGGCTCACTGGAAACTCTGCCTCCCAGGTTCAAGCAATTCTCTGCCTCAGCCTCCTTAGTAGCTGAGATTACAGGCACCCGCCGCCACATCTAGCTAATTTTTTTCTTTTTTCTTTGTATGTTAGTAGAAACAGGGCTTCACCATGCTGGCCAGGCTGGTCTTGAACTCATGATCTCGTGATCCACCTGCCTTGGCCTCCCAAAGTGCTGGGATTACTGTTGTGAGCTCCTGCACCGGACAGAAAAGTGGTTTCTTAAAGCCTGGTGTAAAATTGCATTTAGAAGGCCAGACACGGTGGCTCACACCTGTAATCCCAGCACTTTGGGAGGCTGAGGCAGGAGAATCACTTGAACCCAGGAGCTTCAGACCAGCCTGGGCAACACAGAGAGACTCTGTCTCTAAAAAAAGAACTATAGGCCAGGCACGGTGGCTCAAGCCTGTAATCCCAGCACTTTGGGAGGCCGAGGCGGGTGGATCACGAGGTCAAGAGATCGAGACCATCCTGGTCAACATGGTGAAACCCTGTCTCTACTAAAAATATATATATAAAAAAAAATTAGCTGGGCATGGTGGCGCGTGCCTGTAATCCCAGCTACTCAGGAGGCTGAGGCAGGAGAATTGCCTGAACCCAGGAAGCGGAGGTTGCGGTGAGCAGAGATTGCGCCATTGCACTCCAGCCTGGGTAACAAGAGCAAAACTCTGTCTCAAAAAAAAAAAGAACTATAAAAATTAAAAATTACATTTAGAGTATATTTTTATTAACATTGCTTTGGTTTACAATTTTAGTAACATTAGTATTCAACACTGTTGATACATTTTCATGCTTATAATACTAAAATAAATGAACGATATTTATTTAAATAAAATCTACTGAGTCTAGCTTTCAAAAATTAAATCCTTGCCAGTCACAGTGGCTCACACCTATAATCCAAGTACTTTGAGAGGCCAACGTGGGCAGATAACCTGAGATCAGTAGTTCAAGACCAGCCTGGCCAACATGGTGAAACCCCATCTCTACAAAGATACAAAAATTAGCCAGGCATGATGGCGGGTGCCTGTAATCCCAGCTACTCAGGAGGCTGAGGTGGGAAAATTGCTTGAACACGGGAGGCGGAGGTTGCAGTGAACAGAGATCATGCCATTGCACTCCAGCCTGGGCGACAGAGTGAGACTCTATCTCAAAAACAATAACAACAACAACAAAAATTAAATCCCATTTGACCTTAAGTAGGTTATTTAATGTAAACTTATTATGTTTGTCTTACAGTTTAAAATTTTTATGTAAAATAAAGAATTATATTAATTTCAAGAACAGTAAGCCTGGCCAGGAGCGGTTGGCTCACATCTGTAATCCCAACACTTTGGGAGGCCAAGGTGGGCGGATCACCTGAGGTCAGGAGTTCGAGACCAGCCCGGCCAACATGGTGAAACCCCTATTCTACTAAAAACACAAAAATTAGCTGGAAGTGGTGGTGGACACCTGTAGTCCCAGCTACTCAGGAGGCTGAGGCAGGAGAATCGCTTGAACCCAGGAGGCAGAGGTTGCAGTGAGCTAAGATCGCGCCACTGCACTCCAGCCTGGGCAACAGAGTGAGACTCCATCTAAAAAACAAAAGGCAAGTCAAACTTACATAACTTTTTTCAAGAAAGCTTGGCTAAAAAGTCATTTTCAATTTTATTACTGGTTTTAAGGAACTGGATTGAAGCATGCCATAGTGTGTTTTTTTTCTGATAGTTCTTGTACTTGGGGTTCATTAAAGTTTTTGCATCTGGGGGTTTATAGTTTTCATCAAACTGGAAAAAATTTTGGCCATTGTTTTCTTCAAGTATGTCTTCTGTTCCATATGCCTCCCTTTCCAGGGCCTCCAATTATATGCATTTTAAGCCACCTGAAATTATTCCACAGCTTGCAAATGCTCTGTTCATTTTCTTCAGTTTTCCTGTTTTCTCAGATAGTTTTCATTGCCCTATCTTTACATTGACTAATCTTCTCTTCTACAGTGTCTATACTGCAGTTAATCCCACCTAATGTTCTTTTCATCTTGGATGTTGTACTTTTCATCTCTTACACTCTAATGTGGGTCTTCCAAATGTCTCATGTCTTTATTTGACATATTCAATTGTTCCTCTGCCTTCTTGAACATATGTCCTTGTCTAATTCTATCTTCTATGTCACTTCTGGATCTGTTGCGACTGACTAATTTTTCTGCTTGTTATAGGTTGCATTTTCTTGTTTCTTTGCATGCCTGCTAATTTTTCAGTGGATGCTGGATATTTTTGAATTGCTACATTATTGAGCTTTGTTGGGAATGCACTTATTTGAAAACAGTAAGTTAAGGCTACTATTCAGGACTAGCTTTTAAGCTTTGTTAAGTGGGACCACATTATGCCCTTGTACTGAGGCCACACACCTTTCTGAAGACTCTGTTAGATGCCCACCCTGTGACTACCAAATTCTTCACTCTGACTGGCAGGAACATAAACTATTCCTGGCCTTCTATGAACTCTGAGGATTATTCCCTGCTTGTTTCACATGGTACCTTGCCCAGCCCTGGGTGGTTTCCTCACACACACGTGCTGATCATCACTCGGCAGAAGACTCAAAGGACTCCTCTGAAGCTCTCTGACACCCTCTCTCTGGCAGCTCGCTCCTCTCACCTCCTTGGCCTCCTTCACTCCCAGCTCCAACTCCTTAACTCAAGGGGAGCACAGGGCTCTGTCTGGGTTTGCCTTCCTGCCCCGTAGCCTGAAACTTCTCCAGGCACTGAGCTCCCCTTATGTTTCCCCACTCGGAATCACCATTCTGTGCTGTCAGGAAGTCACTATTTCATACAATTTGGGGAAAGAAACTCTGCTTGGTCATACTACATACCATACTCCAAGACATATAGCAGGAAGCTGTGACAGAACTTCTAGCTTACTTGGAGAAGTCAGGGGGAAAATCAAATCATAAAGGAAATGGAACCACCAAAGTTTCCTCCATCTGCATTCTATTTGGCTTGCATTATTGCTGATCTCCTTTAAGAAAAGGGAGAAATCCCAAACAGAAATATGCTAACAAGTTGGCCAGGATAAGCAGATGCCCAGGATAAACAACTGTCTCGAATTACAAAGACACTGACAATTATTATTCATTTTGATACCTACTACTTACCGAACAGGTTAATGTACCATGAACTGAAGATATAGCCACATTTTTATTCTGTGGTTCCCTGAGACCTGAAAATTATTTCAAGGATTTGTCCAGGGTAAAAAGATTAACAGAGGCCCATAAAGATGTATGAAGATCAGCCATGTATTTAAAATTGCTGAAGCTCAATTGTGAGTGTATATAGAAGCTCATTATACTAATTTTTATTTTTATGTCTATTTGAAATTTTCTGTAATAAAAAATCAGAAACAACTGTGGAAGGGAATAAAAAATTTACCTAAATTTTTAGGACCTAATTTATAGCCTGTTAACCCTCCCCTGTTTTCAGAAAAGAATGAAGCTGACACCCAGAAAGAAGCGGAGACAGAGACCCCAGAGCCACTCAGACCTCATACTTGCTATTCCCAGCCCAGCCCCTCCCCTCCCATATATGTGAGACAATAAATCCCTTCTTTGTGTATGTTAAAGTTGGGACTTGTTCACTTAGAACCCAAAAGGCACTGACCAATGGCAAGCTATAAATATGTGCATTCATCCCCTGGGAGTATACAGTATCACCTTGGGAATGCACCAAAATAGAAAAGAAGTTAACACTAAATTTGTTAACTTTTGACCATTTTCAAAAAATCAAGCCTACTTTTCAAATGTTGAGTATGTCTGCATCACAGTCTCTCAGTACCGATTCCCATGAAGAGAAACCAGGACTCATTGGGAAAGTGCTCATTCCTGGTTTGGAGCATGAGATGCCCAGGCTAAGCCTGGCGTCTTTGGATTCCAGAAATCAGAGACTGCAAAGACTAGCAGGGTCAAGTCAAAAAACACGGGGGCTGCCTGCCAGCCAGTAAGGACCAACTTAAGCAGTGAAGTTTGAAACACATCAAATGTTTTAAACCTGTGAGTTCATAATGACACTTAAGAAAATGAAAGGCCAGGCGCGGTGGCTCACGCCTGTAATCCCAGCACTTTGGGAGGCCGAGGCGGGTGGATCACAAGGTCAAGAGATCGAGACCATCCTGGTCAACATGGTGAAACCCCGTCTCTACTAAAAAAAAAATACAAAAAATTAGCTGGGCATGGTGGCGCGTGCCTGTAGTCCCAGCTACTCAGGAGGCTGAGGCAGGAGTATTGCCTGAACCCAGGAGGCGGAGGTTGCACTGAGCCGAGATCGTGCCATTGCACTCCAGCCTGGGTAACAAGACCGAAACTCCGTCTCAAAAAAAAAAAAAAAAAAAAAAAGAAAAGAAAATGAAAAGGAGGCTGGGCGTGGTGGCTCACGCCTGTAATCCCAGCACTTTGGGAGGCCGAGGCGGGCAGATCACAAGGTCAAGAGATCGAGACCATCCTGGTCAATGAAGTGAAACCCCGTCTCTAATAAAATACAAAAAATTAGCTGGGCATGGTGGCGCGTGCCTGTAATCCCAGCTACTCAGAAGGCTGAGGCAGGAGAATTGCCTGAACCCAGGAGACGGAGGTTACGGTGAGCTGAGATCGCGCCATTGCACTCCAGCCTGGGTAACAAGGGCGAAACTCCATCTCAAAAAATAATAATAATAATAGCAAGTGCAGACGGAATAATATCACCAATAATATCACCATTATATAGCTCCTAATTAAACAATGGATTTGGAGAATCATCATCAATCTACCCCAAAACCTGGTGAAAAGCTGATAGGAAATGTTATAATGGAGAGTTCCAACTAGCAACACAGCACATGCACAAAGAAAGAAGAGAGGATATCCTACCTGCTTAAAAATTCTTTTCTTTACAGGGAGGAAAAGTCAATTAGAAACACGAAGGGAAGAAGAAATTCACCAGTCTACACCACAACTACTCTTTACAGTAACCACTGTCGTAGATGACAGTCTGCAGACTGACGGGCATGGCAGGCGTGCTCCATATAGTCTGGGCCATCTTCCTTAAAGCCGGCATTCACCAAGTACAAAAGCACCTACCAGAAATATTTGTCAGCGTCCAACAAACACGGCAAGGCTATTCCATATTCTTTTCTTTTCAGGAAAGCTCTGCCCTTCTCATGATATCCCATAGCTAACATAAGGGCCTAGGAAAAAATGTGAATTTAAAAAACATCACTTTAAAATATAATAAAACAAATTATATCAAAAGCATATTATTTTTTAAAAATCAAATAAAGTAAAACAAAACCAGAAACAAAAAAACAAAAACAAGATCGAAACTCAATCTAAAAGCCAATTAAATTAAGAAAAATACAGTAATTAAAGCATTATTTCACTTCAGTATGAGGCAGCAGCTCCCTGCACGCAGCTGATACAGTCCTGATCAGCACTTGGACCTTTGTTTTCATCAGTTTACTTTCATATCTGCTGATCTGGATCCACTTCTAATATTCTATTCACACTAAATATATTAAAAAGCAGCCAGTAATGCTTATATCCTTTTAATTTAATTAATTTTTTTAAGATGGAGTCTCACTCTGTCATGCAGGCTGGAGTGCAGTGGTACAATCTCAGCCCACTGCAACCTCCACTTCCTGGGTTTAAGTGATTTTCCTGCCTCAGCCTCCCTAGTAGCTGGAATTACAGCAAGCTAATCCTAATTAAACAATGGATTTGGAGAATCATCATCATGTTTTCTGTTTTTTTCTGAGACGGAGTTTCACTCTTGTTACCCAGGCTGGAGTGCAATGGTGCGATCTCAGCTCACCACAACCTCTGCCTCCTGGGTTCAAGCAATTCTCCTGCCTCAGCCTCCCGAGTAGCTGGGATTACAGGCACGCGCCACCATGCCCAGCTAATTTTTTGTATTTTTAGTAGAGATGGGGTTTCACCATGTTGACCAGGATGGTCTCGATCTCTTGACCTCGTGATCTACCTGCCTTGGCCTCCCCAAGTGCTGGGATTACAGGTGTGAGCCACGGTCCCGGGCCTAATTTTGTGTTTTTAGTAGAGACAGGGTTTCACCTCGTTGGCCAGGCTGGTCTCGAGTCCTGACCTCAGATGATACGCTGGGATTAAAGGCATGAGTCAGGGTACCTGGCTGCTTGTATTGTTTTTAAAAAGGGCATTCATTTCACTTTCTAGTCTTAATCATCTAGTTTTTTCTGAAGTTATTTGTCAAGTTTAGTATTTCCAACACAGTTTTTAAAAGGTGATCCAAAATTTTTTGAAGTTCATTAGTTTTAAAAATTTAAATATTCACATAATTCAGTCTGATAAAGCAGCAGTTCTCAACCTTTGGGTACTAGAGACTGCTTTCATGGACGTTTTTCCATGGACAAGGAGAAAGGGGATGGCTTCAGGATGAAACTGCTCCACCTCAGATCATCAGGCATTAGATTCTCATCAAGAGCGCACAACCTGGCTCCCTCACATGCGCATTCACGGCAGGGTTCATGCTCCTCCAAGACTCTTAACACCGCTGCTGATCTGACAGGAAGCGGAGCTCAAGTAGTCACGCTCACTTGCCCACTGTTCAGCTACTGTGAGGCCCGATTCCTAACAGGCCACAGACTGGTATCCATCGCAGCCTGGGGGTTGGGAACCCCTGTGATAAAGGTTTTCCAAAAAGATCTGGATGTCATCATTCAGTGTAAGAGAGCAGTGGGCAAGTAATCACCACTTCCAAAAAACAAACATCGATCTACTGACAACTCAAATGTAATCCATATAGTTCCCTTTTGAAGACAACTTTAATCCTTAATTTTAAACAGAATAATAGAATGATGCCCACTCAAAACTGTCCTTCAAAAACAGAAAAATTAAAATTGATTTGACCCATAGTCATTCATTATAAGAAGCGACTGAACTCTAGCTCAGAGATTGATCTCAGAGTCCAAGTTCCAGAATGCTGCTATAGAGACCCCCATGGGTCTGGGTAGTAGCTCATGCCTGTAATCCCAGCACTTTGGGAGGCCAAGGCAGGCAGATCATCTGAGGTCAGGAGTTTGATACCAGCCTGGCCAATATGGTGAAACCCCATCTCTACTAAAAATACAAAATTAGTCGGGTGTGGTGGCGTATGCCTGTAGTCCCAACTATTCGGGAGGCTGACGCAGGAGAATCCCTTGAACCTGGGAGGCGAGACTGCACCACTGCATTCCAGCCTGGGCAACAAGAGCAAAACTCTGTCTCAAAAGTCAAACAAACAAACAAGTGCAAAACCACAGACATGTTTAAGATTAAACCCCCAATGATTCCAAATCACAGAACAGGTAAAGGGGTATGAGGACACAGGGGAGCGATGTCAGAATCACCTGTGGACTTTTCCCAAAGTACACTGTTTGGGAGAGCCGCTGCACTGAAGGCAGTGGGTGGTGTCCTCAGGCCTGCTGGAAGTCACTGCTCCAGGACAGTGAGGTCATGACATTTGTACTAATGCAGTGAAAACCACACGGTGAGGCCTACTGGATACAAGTACTCAGAACATGGTGACGTTTTCTGCTGACAAGGCTGGAGACAGCACTGTTTCCAACCCTTTATAACACCTCCAGGATAGAGTAACCGCAAAACACCTCTGCCCTGGCCACACATTTCCCATCATACTTACTTTTCTTTCTTCTGGGGGAATTTTGATGGATCTGCCTGTCTGGTTAGCTATGTCTAAGTATGGCGTCATTTCTGGATCCACCACCGTCTCAGCGGCTGTAACCAAACCGAAAGGACCTCTGTTAACTCAGGGTGAAACAGCTGTGACGATGACAACCTTAACAGTGTGAGCCTGCTGAGGGGAAACCCCAGTGAGAGTCACCTGCGCGGGTGACAAGCCCCCCACCCTGTGTACCTCTCTTTGCCAGTATTTCTAGTCCTCTCTTGGTCCTCTCAATTCGTTTTTCTTTGAGTTCGGCCTCATTTTGTTCCTCTTCCTCTAACTGGAAGTTTTTCCTCATATCCTCTTCAGACTGTTTTAGTTCAAGCACCATCGCTTTTACGTTGTGAGTCACTCCTTGCTCTTCAAGGGTTTTCCCTATAAAAATCAGAATCACCTATTATTTTCAGAAGCCATTAAGCTTACCAGGCAGTAGTCCATTTTCTACGTTAAGTGGAATTGTTTTTCTTTTTGAGACAAGGTCTCACTCTGTCACCCAGGCTGGAGGGCAGTGACACGATCATGGTTCACTGCAGCCTTCATCTCCTGGGCTCAAGCAATTCTCCCACCTCAGCCTCCTGAGGAGCTGGCACTACAGGCCCATGCCACCAAACCCAGCTACTTTTTGTATTTTTCGCAGTGATGAGGTCTCACTATGTTGCCCGGGCTTCGCTTGAACTCCTGGGCTCAAGCGATCCTCCCACCTCGGCCTCCCAAAGTGCTGGGTTACAGACATGAGCCCTCACTCCCGGACAAAATGGAATTCTTAAATCTGCATACCAACACCCCACATAATTGGTAAAAAATATGCTTAAATTTGGTTGTAACTATGACACTGTTAAGCAGTGGCAAAAATTAACTAGTGACAATAGACTCAACTGAATCCATCTTCTCTAATCTTCTTTATTCTCAGCCTAAGACCAGATCAAAGCAACAAATATTTGAGAATCTACTACAGGGAGAACTGTGCTAGACAATATAAATAAGAAAGCGAGAAAGTGTCACACACATTTCCTCTCCTCCAGCTGGAAAAAGAATGAAGCCGATTCACAGCTACAGACAAGAAACTGTACTGCAGTCTGCTGTCACGGTTGGAAGCAAAGACCAGCAGGGCGCGGTGGTTCACATCTGCAACTTCAGCACTTTGGGAGGCTGAGGCAGGTGGATCGCTTGAGCCCAGGAGTTCAAGACTAGCCTGGGCAACAGAGTGAGACCCCATCTCCACAAAAAAATAAAACATTCGCCTGGCATGGTGGTGTGCACCTGTAGTCCTAGCTACTCACTGGGAGGCTAAGGTGGGATTGTTTGCATCTGGGAGGTGGAGGTTGCAGTGAGCTGCAATTGCACCACCACACTCTAGCCTGGTGACAGATAGAGACCCAATCAATCAATGCAAAGACCATGGGCTCCATCTGCCATTTTAACTCTGTGGCCCTGAACAACTGCCTGTCTTCTAGGATTCTGTTTCCTCATATAAAAATTGGAAATAGGCCGGGCACGGTGGCTCATGCGTATAATCCCAGCACTTTGGGAGGCCAAGGCGGGTGGATCACGAGGTCAAGAGATCGAGACCATCCTGGTCAATGAGGTGAAACCCCGTCTCTACTAAAAATACAAAAATTAGCTGGGCATGGTGGTGCGCACCTGTAGTCCCAGCTACTCAGGAGGAGGCTGAGGCAGGAGAATTGCTTGAACCCAGAAGGCGGAGGTTGCAGTGAGCGGAGATCGTGCCATTGCACTCCAGTCTGGGTAACAAGAGGGAAACTCTGTCTCAAAAAAAAAAAAAAAAATGAAAATAAAGGGCAGAAATCAGTGAAACAGAATGAAAATGAAAAGCTGGCTCTATGAATAAATTAACCAAATACACAAATTAACAAAAATTAGGTCAAAGATGAAAGCAAACAAGGGTAAACACAGATGCAAACAGATTTAAAAAAACAAAATACCAGCTCAAAAATCAGGGAAATGGGAGAAAAAAAGAAAAAAATAACAAAATAATATTATGAACTATCAACACAAATGTAAACATATTTCTGGAAAACTGTAGTTGGATTTTTATTTATTTATTTATTTATTTATTTTTTATAAAGATGGGGTTTCACCATGTTGGTCAGGCTGGTCTTGAACTCCTGACCTCAGGTGATCCACCCACCTTGGCCTCCAAAGTGCTTGGATTACAGGTGTGAGCCACCACACCCGGCCAGATTTTTTTTCTTTTTAGAAATATGACAATCTTTCTAACATTAATGCACAAAATAAAGGTCCACCGTGGTTAAGTCATCTTGATTAAAAAAAAAAAAAAAAAGCAGAGGGTTGGCAGAGGTCACCAGATTTTAAGACTACAACAAAGCCACAGTGATAAAAACACCACAGGTGAAGAGGAGGAGCAGAAAGTACAGAAACAGGGCCCCGAAAAGGGTCACCATCAATCAGCGGGGAAAGGACAGAATAAGGCATTATATAGAAAGAAAATAAAGGAACCCTTAGCCTTTATCTAAGGGGGCTAAAGGGGGACCCTGGACAGACTGAAGATCTCTTACAGATTAAGCTAACAGTCAAGAAAGCAGAGACCATCCTTTCGGCCCTGGGGTTAGGGAAAGAACTTCAACAAAACACAAGCCACAGCGAGGGATTTGATGACATCCGAATCAAGGATTTCTGTCTAATGAAGGATACCATTATCCTTCATTAGATTAACAGGATTAACAGAGGGATGAGGCAGCAGTGAAAAGATACCCATGACATCAAAACTAGACAACGGCAAACTGCTAGAGATGACGCTGGAAAGGAACGCCAGGGTCAGATATGAAGGGCTACCTTATGTCAAGCTAAGAAATGTGAACTGAATTCTCAAGGCCACAGGAATGCACTGAAAGCCAACGGGACTCCAGCTTGTATGGAAACCCTGCAATGGCTAACTGGTCTCCCCAAGTCATTGCATGCCTCCTTCAAATACATTCCCCTACTGCGTGACCTTTATAAAACACAAACAGAATTGTGTACCACTCCCCAGCACAGATGTCTTCCCATTTCTCTTAGGAGAAATGGACTAACACTGAGTAAGGTCATCTAGTTGCTCATTTCCCAGAAGCTATGCCACTGACATCTTGGGCTGGGCCGGTCTTTGTCGCGGGGCCTGCTCTGGGCACTGCATGAGCGGCAGCATCCCCAGCCTCTACCCACTGAATGACAGCAGCACGACCTCCCCATCACCCAGTTATACACCAAAATCGTCTCCAGACGATGCCGAATGTCTCCTGGGGGTTCACAGTGTGGCCTCTGCCTTTTCCACACGCAGCCTCACTGGAACCCCCTCAGTTCCTCAGATTCACACCATAGTGCTCTGACGTGAGGCCGTCAGCCTAGGACACACGCCACCATGGCCTCCCCACTGTCTTCACACAGGCTTTGCTCTTCTCCCTCAAGGAGAATTTGCTGGAACTGGCAACTTACACTCAGCACACCTCACCCTCCATTCTGTAACATTGAATCTAAGCTGCAATGAGTGTCTTCATTACCACTACCATAGAGCAGACAATAAATATTTATTGGAAAAGCTATTTTCTGCTTAACTTCTAAATCAGCTGTGGATTATAAATGGAATAAAGCTACAAACTTTTGAAGAGTGAGAAAAAGAGGGGAGTCATTATTTCTATATCAGGTTCATTGAAAAATTATGCCTACTTTGCCATACATACCTAGTTGCAGTTGCTTCTTATTTATGACAATTTTGATGTAATTTTCTTGAAATCCAAAGGTTTCAGCTATTCTGTAAAATTAAGACCAGTGAAAACTGTAGGAAAACAAAATTGTTATTTGTTATCCACTAAAAAGACTTCAGCCAGGCCCGGTGGCTCACGCCGGTAATCCCAACACTTTGAGAGGCCAGGGTGGAAGGATAGCTTGAGCCCAGGAATTCAAGACCAGCCTGGGCAACATAGAGAGATCCTACCTAAAAACAATGTTTTAACATTAGCCAGGCCTAGTAGCCCGTGCCTGTGGTCCTAGCTGCCTGGGAGGCTTGGGTAGGAGGATCGCTTGAACCCAGGCGTCTGAGGTTGCAATGAGCTATATTCATGCCACTGTGCTCTAGATTGGGTGACAAAGCAAGATCCTGTCTCTACAAAATAAATATTTTTAAAAAGAAGGCTTTAATCATGATAGCTATTTTATACATTTTTATCAGAAACACCCGGGATTTCAACTGACTGACTCAACAACCATCACAATAGAGCCATCTTACTAGCCGGCTATGTGAACCTGTAGGAAACAAGGCCCTTTGAAAGCCTGTTTTCCTACTTGTTCCCGCAGGCAAGGGGGACCACAGTGTCGCAGCTCTACGTCAACAGGAAGCCCTAGCTGCACATCAGGAGAAAATCCACCCTCTAGGCCTTCTGTGGTCTCCTTGGAGGAGTCCATAACAGGGGGGCTGATCCACAGGGTCTTCTACACATGTGTGTTAAATGCCACTTCCTGAACCCACCCCTAACAGCCCTGATGTAGACTGAAGAAGGAAATGAGAAAAATTAGCTGAAGAAATACATCAGCTAGCTAGCCCTGGAGGGCCCCAAACACTTAACATTTTAAAACATATGAGGAGATGAAATAACAGACCAGATCTCAAAGTTAGGATTTCACTAGTATGTGCAGACGTGTGTGTGTGTGTGTGTGTGTGTGTGTGTGTGTGTGTGTTTTACAGATGGGCCAACAGCCTGAAATCAGATAAAACACTGCACTGAAGGTCACAGCAAGCTATTAGTACACTAGGGAAAATAACAGTAATTCAAAACTAATGAGCTAGTGACTTTCAGGTATCTCCTGTTTATATCACTCATTCATTCATTCAAACATGCACCAAGTGTCTCCCATGTGATAGGCACGGAGTTCCCACTGCTCAGAAGTTACACCAGGAAATAGTGTTTGCAAGTCCTGAGTCCTCACTTTGCCACTTACCCACCAGTGTTAGCTCTAATAAGTTCTTCGACCTAAAAGCCTCAGTTTTCTCTTCTGTAAAATGGGGACAATACCTGCCCTGCCTATCTTAGGAGGACACTCACAGAGGATCAAATGAGCAGATGTAGAAAGGCCCAGAGCACCTGGGACACGGAGCACAGATACGTACTTAGACCTCAGTTCTCTGCCGGTGACGTGCAATTGGGTCTCCAGCAAGTTTTTCCTATCCTGTGAAAAATAAGACAAATAAAGTAAAATGTACTTGAATTTAACACATTTTGGAGCGATTACCCTGTGAAATCAGAAAAGCTGACAGCAGAGGATATAACCTTAGCTCACTGTTAAAACTAAAACGCTGCCTGCCTAGAAGCCTACTGAACATAACTCAGCACAGGCTGACCCCGTGACTTGCACGTCCTCAAGGGGGCAGCAGTGTGGCACCACCAGGCAGGGCTGCTTAGAGAGGCCGTTCTCGCATGGCTGGCCACCTTTAAAATTCCGGAACATTCCCACCATCCCTCAAAGAAACACTATGCCCTGCACCCCATTCCCTCCGCTTTGCCCCCCAGCCCCTGGCAACCACGAATCTATTTGCTGCTGCTACAGATTTGCCTATTCCAGACAGTTCACATAAACGGGATCAGGCAGTACATGCCTTTTATGTCTGGCTTCTTCCCCAAGCATCATGTTTTCAGGCTCATCCACGCTGCAGATGCATTGGCACTTCATTCCCTTGCATTGCGCACAGCTTCCATCGTATGAGTAGACCACATTTATCTATCCATTCACCTGCTGATGGACATATGGACTACTTCCATCTCTCAGCTACTGAATAGTGCTGCTGTGACCATTCATGCATGAGCTTTTACATATTAATATATACTCTTATTTCTTCAGACAGTACTGGTACTGATCAGTCCCAAGAGGCTCTGGGTGCCTTCTCACAGTGACATTTCTAGATGTGAACTACTTGGCCATGGTAATGAGAGGAGGTGACCCTACCCAGATGTCCTCGGCCCTGCCTGAGCACACAACAGACTGCCCTCTGACCTCCACCGGAACAGGAAAAGGATGAAGCCCTCAGTGATGTGTCCTCCTGTACAGGGTTCCAGGAAACCTGGGAGTCCTTAATTCCCCATTCTTTCTAAACGTTCACACTCTAGAAAGGGTCAGAATGTGACAAACAGCTTTGTGGCATTTTAGAGGTCCAAGAGGGTCTCTAAAAGCCTACCTTGGGAATGTTCCAGTTTAAGAATTTGTAACATTAACTTTCAAGTTGATAAACTTTCAATATGGAAAGTAACTTAAAAGAATTCTAACTTTGGATTGTAACTTTCCAAAAAATAACAGTGTATTGGTTCACATCACTAACTAGACATTAGCGCCTACTCAAATTTAGGGAAATTACTCACTTTTCTTAGTCTTGGTGGTAAAAACACCTCAATTGTAGCAATTCCTGTTGTTCTATAATTTTCATTTCCTGTTCCACGCTCAATTGCCTTGCAACGTATTTCTTCTATGATCTTTTCCACTTCACTTTCACAGCATTCTAGTTTGTCAGAGTACTTCTTAGCAAGCCCCTATCACAAAAGATCAGAAAATGCAATACCGACTTAAACAAAAAAGGCAAAATATAGAAAGGGCATGAAAGACTCTAAGGCCATCAACTCTGATGAGTGGAGGTTGCCCCGTTACACTGCAGTCCACACTGTGGCTTCACATCTTGAGAGGTGTGGCATTTAGAGAGGATCCAGGAAAAGATGAAAACATTTATTTGAGGACAGGCACAGCGGTGCAGGCCTGTAATCCCAGCACTTTGGGAGGCCAAGGTGGGTGGATCACTTGAGTTCAGGAGTTTGAAACCAGCCTGGCCAACGTGGTGAAACCCTGTAACTACTAAAATACAAAAATTAGCTGGGCGTGGTGGCACATGCTTGTAGTCCCAGCTACTCAGGAGGCTGCAGTAGGAGGATCACTTGAACCCAGGAGGCAGAGGTTGCAGTGAGCCCAGATGGCGCCACTGTACTCCAGCCTGGGTGACAGAGCGAGACTCCATCTCAAACAAAACAAAACAAAACAAAACAAAACAAAACAAAACAAAACAAAACATTTATTTGATAAATGTCTTTTACCTACAAATAGTAACAACAACAACAACAACCAAAGAGTCTCAACAGAAAAAGTAAAAATAACCGAGAATCTTCTAGGGGGACAAGAAGGGTGGGCTACGACTTACGTGACTGCAATCTATTAAAAAAGTATTTTAGGCTGGGCGTGGTAGCTCACACCTGTAATCCCAGCACTTTGGGAGGCCGAGGCGGGTGAATCACGAGGTCAAGAGATCGAGACCATCCTGGTCAACATGGTGAAACCCCGTCTCTACTAAATATACAAAAAATTAGCTGGGCATGGTGGCACGTGCCTGTAATCCCAGCTACTCGGGAGGCTGAGGCAGGAGAATTGCCTGAACCCAAGAGGTGGAGGTTGCGGTGAGCCGAGATCGCGCCACTGCACTCCAGCCTGGGTAACAAGAGCGAAACTCCGTCTCAAAAAAAAAAAAAAAAGTATTTTAAGGAATAGTGAACTGTTCACCTCCACTGGAGGGGAAAACATGGAAAAAAAAAAACCCAAAATATTCTAATTTTTCAAACTTGTGAGAACAAATCAGGTTGAACTGAATTTTCTTAATGAAAAATTACGAATCAGAAATACTAGTTTTAAAATTATTTGTCAGGGAGAGCTTTAGAAACAGGAAAAAATTAAGGCCGGGCGCAGTGGCTCATGCCTGTAATCTCAGCACTTTGGGAGGCCGAGGCCGGTGGATCACGAGGTCAAGAGATCTAGACCATCCTGGCCAACACAGTGAAACCCTGTCTTTACTAAAAATACAAAAAAAGTGGCCAGGCGTGGTGGCACACACCTGTGATCCCAGCCACTTGGGAGGCTGAGGCGAAGAATCGCTTGAACCCAGGAGGAGGAGATTGCAGTGAGCTGAGATGGGAAAAAAATTAGATTTGGGGGGCCTCAAGAAAGGATGTGAACCAGTTATTACCGCAGGCAAAGTTATTATGTTTCCTCCCCCAAAAGAATAGATTAGTATCTCTAATCCAAAAATCTGAAATCTCCAAAATTTGGAATTCAGTTTTGAATCTGAAAATGCTGAAAGAAAATGCACGCTGAAGTTTCTGAATTTTGAATTTCCAGATCGGGATGCTCACTAGTAGGTATAACACAAACATTCCAAAATCCAAAACATTCCAGTCCCAAACATCTCAGATAAGGGATACTCCTCTCAATTTGTATTTGCATTTGAGGTTTGATGTTTCATTAAACATCTCATAAAACAGTAAACACTTCAAAAAACCCTAAAGGTCAAGGTTTCCTTAAATCCATGATGCAATACCATACAGTACATAAAAATTATGGTGTAAGCGTAAATTTATGACAGAAGAGATGCTGATGATCTATGTGTAGTTGGAAAACTTTATAGATATGAGCAAAGGTTGGGCGCAGTGGCTCATACCTGTAATCCCAGCACTTTGGAAGCCAAGGCAAGAGGACTGCTCAAGCCCAGGAGTTTAAGACCAACCTGGGCAAACAAAGTGAGAACCCATCGCTACAAAAAATAAAAATATATTAGCCAGGCATGGTGACGTGTGCCTCAAGTCCCAGCTACTCCCGAGGCTGGGGTGGGAGGATCACTGGAGCCTGGGAGTTCGAGGCTGCAGTGAACTATCATCATGCCAATGTACTCCAGCCTAGGCAACAGACCAAGACCTTCTTGTCTGTAAAAAAACAAGAAAAAAAAAGTAACATAAACTTATATATCCTTTTTTTCTTTTAGAGATGGGGTCTCACCCAGCAATCCCATTACTGGCTATATACCCAAAGGATTATATAAAGACATTCTGTTATAAAGACACATGCACACATATGTTTATTGTGGCACTGTTCACAATAGCAAAGACTTGGAACCAACCCAAATGCCTACCAATGATAGACTGGATAAAGAAAATGTGGCACATATACAATATGGAATACTATGCAACCATAAAAAAGGATGCGTTAATGTCCTTTGAAGGGACATGGATGAAGCTGGAAACCATCATTCTCAGCAAACTAACACAGGAACAGAAAACCAAACACTGTATGTTCACACTCATAAGTGGGAGTTGAACAATGAGAACACATGGAAACAGGGAGAGGAATATCACACTCTGGGGCCAGGGGTTGGGGGCTAGGGAGGAATAGCAGGGGTGGGGGGATTGGGGAAGGATAGCATTAGGAGAAATACCTAAAGTATAATTTAAAAATATATAAATAAATTTTTTAAAAAAGAGAGAGATGGGGTTGCCCAGGCTGGAGTGCAGTGGCTATTCGCAAGTGCTACCATAGCACACCACAGCCTCCAACTCCTGGGTTCAAGCTATCCTCCTGCCTTAGCCTCCTGAGTAGCTGAGACTACAGGCATGCACCACTGTGTCCGGCAATACTTTTTTTAATAGTTACATAGGAAAATAGGAAGAATACACCTACATTAATGGTGTTTAACATATTTTAAAAATACATTTTTTATATTTTTGTATTTAATTGTGTACATACTTTTTACACCCAGTACATTATAAATACTTTTAAAAAAACTTTCTATAATTTTTTAGAAAACCTAACTAGGGAATATGTCTTCTTCCTCTTGTCACCAGCCAGTTCTGACACCAACTGGAAGTCATATGATTCATTTCTGACACTAACTACCCAGAGTCAGTGTTACACTCCACAGGTTTAAGGGCTCAGTCCACAAAAAGGCCCTAACCTCAGGCACCACTTACCAAGTAGCTGGTCCCCAGGTTACCCGTACTTTTGTCTGACGTAGCTACGAAGTCAAGGGTTCACACAAGCACCCCCTTCAGGTTCTGTGATGTGTTAGAGCGACTCGAAGGACTCCGGAAAATGCTGTACTTACTAATATAGTTCATTATAAAGGACACAAATGACCATTCACATGAAGAGGTACTAAGGCAAGGTTTAGAAGGGCCCTGGGCACAGAAGCCTCTGTCCCATGGAGTTGGGGTATACATCCCTGACATGCGGATGTGTCCACCAATTTGGAAGCTACCCGAAATCTGTCACGTAGGGGTTTGTATGGCAGTTTCATTATGTAGGCCTGATTGATTAAATCACTGGCTATTTGTATTAGTGATCAGCTCAATCTCCCCTGCTCAGAGGTTGGAGAGTAGGATTGAAAGTTTCATGTGTCTGATCAAGGCTTGGCACTTTTGGTGACCAGCCCCACCCTGAAGCTATCTAGGGGCAACCAAGCCACATCAGAACAAAGGTTGTTCCCATCATGCTTGCCACTCAGGAAATCCCAAAAGTGTTGGCTCTGCCAGGACAGGGACAAAGATCGAATATCTTTCCTAGCATGCCGCACCTAGTTTCTGAACCAAGAGACTATAACAAGTAAATTCAGAAGCAAGGTCAGAAGGTGGGTTGCAAAGAGAAAGTGAGGCCTGCCTGGAACAGAAGAAAGGGAAGAACTAAGACCCTAATACAGTTTGTCACCTCCCCAGCACATCATCATGTCACAGCACAGAGCAATTTAATGCCTCATGACGATCCTTAGCCCCTGGTAAAAGTTACACCATGTTCAGGATACTCAGACTGAGAGCCGAGAAGCACATGCTAGGAAATTCCAATATGAGAGATTTCTGGCAAAAGTAAGATTTCCAGCAAAAATGAGCAATGTTTCTCTGGTTAGAAAAGCAAGCAGACTTCAGTTTCGAGAAACATCACTTACATACAACACCATTTGTGATGATGTCATAAAAAAACAGATACAACTGCTGGAAAAAACCTATTTTAGAAAAATGAACCGTGATAGTAATAGCATCCAAAAAAACTGGGGGAAAGGATCAATTGTTTTATAGCAGATGACGACAGCAAGGAGGGCCAAGAATGAACCAAGACACTGTCACTCTGAACGCACAATGCAATAACTTACTGGCACCAATACTGTTGCACCAACAGGTCAAAATTAGTTTCAGATGAATAATGTTATATAATGCAGTGATATTAAAAATAATACATGCCTAGGGTCGGGAGCAGTGGCTCACGCCTGTAATCCCAGCACTTTGGGAGGCTGAGGTGAGTGGATCACGAGGTCAGGAGTCCGAGACCAGCCTGGCCAACATGGTGAAACCCCATCTCTATAAAAAAATAAATAATAAATAATAATAATGCATGCCTAAAAAAGCACATAACATCCTCATGTGAATAAAATATTAGTAAACAAAAATAAGGACATCAATTCCTAGTAAAAACTGGGTACCGGCTGGGCGTGGTGGGTCATGCCTGTATTCCCAGCACTTTGGGAGGACAAGGTGGGTAGATCACAAGGTCAGGAGTTCAAGAACAGCCTGACCAACATGATAAAACCCCGTCTCTACTAAAAATACAAACATTAGCTGGGCATGGTGGCACATGCCTGTAATCTCAGCTACTCAGGAGGCTGAGACAGGAGAATTGTTTGAACTGGGACCCTGGAGGCGGAGGTTACAGTGAGCTGAGATCCCACTATTGCCTGAGCTATGCAGTGAGAATCTGCCTTTAAAAAAAAAAAAAGTGGGTAGCCACTCACCACTAATGTTTTTGGCTATGCTGAAAGTTTGTATGGTCATGCCTGACAATTTCCAGTCACTTCAGAATCTTATTTACCAAAGAGATTTATAGTGCTGCTAATTATTATCTTAAAAGACAAATACCTTTAATGCCAAACCAACTTTTTTACTTTCATCTGTATATGGAGGTTTCCAAAGTTGAATCCTGTCTTCCCTTAAAAACTGGGTCAGTTTTGCTTGAAGATACTTCTTTTGTGCCATCCTTGAAAGCAAAACAATACATTAATAAAACTCCACACCGCACTTTAAAATGCTGCATAACTTACCTACAAGGTAAGGTGTTTTGCTGGGTAAGCAGAGCTCCCTTCCTCTCATTAAATCTAAATTACTATGGCTTAAACAAGCTCCAGATTTCTCTAAAAATATATAAATATATACATTCAATTATATATATTACGTATACAAAATATGTATTTCAAAGTTGCTAATATGTAGCAAGGATTATTACACTTTTCTGTTTCTTAACCTGCTATTCTCTTATCTAAGAGAAAAGAGAAAAAACAGGAAAGATGGCTCTCTCAAGTAGTAAACTTTTTTTTTTTTTGAGACAGAGTCTTGCTCTGTCACCCAGGCTGGAGTGCAGTGGGGTGATCTCGGCTCACTGCAACCTCCGCCCCCTGGGTTCAAGCAATTCTCCTGCCTCAGCCTCCTTAGTAGCTGGGATTACAGTCACGTGCTACCACACCCAGCTACTTTTTGTATTTTTACTAAAGATGGGGTTTCGCCATGTTGACCAGTCTGGGGTGGAATTCCTGACCTCAAATGATCCACCTGCCTAGCCTCTCAAAGTGCTGGGATTACAGGCATGAGCTTGTCAATTTTCTCATACTTTGGCTAGTTTAAGATAAAACAGAAGGCCAACAACCCTGGTAGTTAAATATAAAGAAAAGCTTGAACTGTAAACTATCAATAATAAATCTTTTCAGACAGGCGTGGTGGCTCAGGCCTGTAATCCTAGCATTTCGGGAGGCCGAGGCAGGTGAATCTCTTGAGGTCAGGAGTTCGAGACCAGCTTGGCCGACATGGTGAAACCCTGTCTCTACTAAAAAAAAAAAAATACAAAAACTGGCCGGGCGCAGTGGCTCACGCCTATAATCCCAGCACTTTGGGAGGCCAAGGTGGGTGGATCACGAGGTCAAGAGATCGAGACCAACCTGGTCAACAAGGTGAAACCCCGTCTCTACTAAAAATACAAAAATTAGCTGGGCATGGTGATGCGTGCCTGCAGTCCCACCTACTTGGGAGGCTGAGGCAGGAGAATTCCTTGAACCCAGAAGGTGGAGGTTGCAGTGAGCCGAGATCATGCCATTGCACTCCAGTCTGGGTAACAACGGCAAAACTCCGTCTCAAAAAAACAAAAAAAACAAAAAAATTTAGCAGGGTGTGGTGGCAGGTATCTGAGGCAGAAGAATCGCTTGAATCCAGGAGGCAGAGGCTGTAGTGAGCCAGATCACACCACTGCACTCCAGCCTGGGCAACAGAGTGAGACACTGTCTCAAAATAATAAAAATAAATATATAAATATTTTCTACATCAGAATTTTTTAAATTAGAAAGATTACAATCCTAGAAAAACGTTTCCTATTTTCTGATTAACAGCCTAACAGCACAACTGCTATTCAGATCTAACACTGATCAGATCATTTCACAGCTGAGAAAACCAGGGCCCTGAGTTTGTACGACAACTCAGGCAAAGACACAAAATTAGGCGGCATCATAACGAGCATAACTTCCATCCCCAGCACTGGACTCTGAACTTTTGTCATGGAGTCCCTTGCTGCTTCTCTGTTCCATGTATGTAACTTCTCTCTCCCGGAGAAGCACATGCCCGATGGAGCTGTCGACTCATCCCTAGCACAGCAATTCAAAGGTGCACATGACGCGGCGGAGATGCAAGGCAGCCGGCAGGTATAGAGCTTTAAGGTCTGCCAAATCAGACAAGCAGTAAGTACAGAAAAATGTTATTATCACCTGAATGATGAAGACAAGTTCTAGAGAGTCAAAACAATATGAGTAACTATTACCGAGATAAATACATTTCTTTTTTCTATCGAAGGCCAGTATTCCACATCCTCCCAAACCCAATTCACGCAACTCTGAAATCAAGTTTGGTAGCTTCGGTGTATTTCATAAACAAATATTTATTATTATTACTATTTTTTTAACTAAAAAAAATTTTTTTTCTTTTGGCCAGCACGAGGCGCTAAACAAATATTCTTTAAATGGAAGTTCAAATCTATTTTATGTTAATGCAGGGACAAGAATTAGGTTAATCAGGACAGGGAGGAGAAAAGAGGAAGGAATAAGAACAGCCAAGGAGGTGCTGTGTATATCCCAGGGGACCCACGAGGGAATCCTTGATTTTCCTGCACTAACAAACGGCTTATCACAGCAAAGCATATGAATACTTAGAGCGTTGGCTTTTCAAATAGAAGTTGTGGGTAACACCCCATATAAGCACTGAGGAATGAGAGCTAAGCAGAACCCTGGCACAGTTAGGGCTTGAAGAATATCTCAGTTTATAGTGTTACTACTCAGCTATTCCTTTTATATAATCCTTTATATAATCATATATTAGTTTATAGAATTAGGTCCTGAAGAATCCCTTTATATAACCCTCCATATATAATCATATAATAGTTGATAGTATGAGTGCCTAAAGAATATTTCCCTACATATATATAATTATATCTTAGTTCATAATCGGAGGAATGCCTAGAGTGGACACAGTACAGAGCATGAATTAAGGAATAAGCAGCTTATAATCGGAGGAATGCCTAGAGCAGACATAGCGCAGAGCGTGATTTAAGGGAAGAACAGTTATACCAGGACAAGAATCCACGGCCCAGGTGGCAGTGTTCAGTATCATAAAGATACCCGCTATATGGCAGGCTTGGGGCAAGAGCCACTCCTCCTGATAAAGGAGTTGTAGGACCTTGCTCCAGTTCTTGTGGAAGGATGACCTCAGACCAGTAATCCACTTTGGTGACTGTGAACTTTATCAGCTCTTGCTACTGTGCTGCTTGAAAAGCATCTTCCCACAGAACTCACTGGACGGTGCCAGAAGGTGGCGGTAACCCTGACAGCTCTGTCACTGCTATGTGACTTAAAACATCCCCCTATAAATCTTCTTAGAAGTAGTTTGCCCATAGATAGAAGTATTGTACACTGCACCCTCTTCACTGCGCACGGCCCACCTTCAAGCCTTGGTGACCTAATGGGGGTGAACCCCTTACTGCACACAACCCTTGCCTTCATGGTAACAGGCCCCTTGCTGCGCACTGTCCACCTCCTAGCCTGGGTGACCTATTGGGGACGGACCCCATGTTTTATTGCTCACGACCCTATCACTGTCCTTAAAGATGATTTCACTCACTGCCCTTCCCACTAACCTATACACAATAAATACTTACACTTCTGGACATTCGGGGCCTCGCCTGACTCCGCTCATAGGTGGCGTGGCCCTCTGAGCCCAGCTGCGTTTTCCTTGTACTTCTGTGTCCTATCTCTTTGTTTCTCGGATCCTGTCCCTCAGCACAGTATGAGGCTCACCCCGCGACCCTGTGGGGCCTTCCGCCCTACACAAGTAACTTAAAAGACTACTTTACATACCATACTCATGAATCTTCAGAAATTCTGAATAAAATATCACAGCAATCCTACTGTCTCCCCACTGGAGAGTAATATCACAGGCTGTTTACGGAGCCAAGCAATTTGAAAGGCTGAGGCTGTCCTCAAAGAGGTCTTTTCAAGCCACCACTTGACAGAAGGACGAAGGGGTGTCACAAACCCATTTCGTGTCAGACACTCCAGGGAGCAAACTACACTGCATACGATTTAACGTTAAAAAAAAAAAAAATTTAGGCTGGGTGCCGTGTCTCACGCCTGTAATCCCAGCACTTTGGGAGGCTGAGGCGGGTGGATCACCTGAGGTCAGGAGTTGGAGACCAGCCTGACCAACACGGTGAAACCCCGTATTTAAAAAAAAATTAAACCACTGTCTCAAAACTTCATTTACAGACAGCAGAATAAATGGTGACATATTTAAAGTCAAGTTTAATAGTTTTTAACTGAAATGAGAACCGAAAAAGTTTTATGCACGCCATACAATGTTCCACATTATAACAACCAAGAAAAGACGAAACTCATTAATATCACTCCACGCTCCAAACAGAAAGTGAAACGTTATAACGATCCTTTAAAAATGTCACTTTCACTTTTGTAATGAACTGGTCAACGCTAACCTTTAGTAAGAGCTTTTCAACTATACATTGTATATCGTTGAAACATAACTTTATCTAGTCAAGACATTCATTTTTTTCAAGACATTCATTTTTAGGAAAATGAAAGATTCTTGATTAAAAATAAAAGGGAAGGAGACGGGAATTACAGAATCAGGTAGTCAAGGTTCGAGAAAATCAAATGTCATTAAATAGCAAAGAAAATCTGGCTTTGATTGCAAACAAATCCCAAATGGTACACTCGGAGTAAGAGTTATGATTCAAGCATCTTATTTCGCTAATTTTTATACACAGATTTATTGCTTTCTCTCCCCAAACCAATACACTCAATCTCTTCTTTTAAATACCCCACATCTCTGCCTAACTCAGCGCAAACCAAAGGTTCCCGAACGGCCAGCGCGTCCGGAAGCCCTGCCCGCCGCTCCCGGCCCCGGCTCTGGCCCCAGCCCGGCTCTGCACAGGGCCGCTCACCCCTGCACCGCGGCCGTTCCACGCCAGCCAGTAGAGGTGCCCAGTCGTGCCGGGAACCGGAACAACGAGCAGCGCCGCTGAGGCCGGGGTCGGGGACACTCGGCTGCCGGGTTCTCACCTGTGCCACGCCCCACCCGCCGCGACCAGCAAAGTGCCCGGATGCAGCGACGGCCGCCGTTTGTTTTTATTCCGGGTGAGGCCAGCACCGCCCCCACCCCCGCCCCCGCCGCCGCCACTTGGAAGGAGGGTTGTGGGCGGGGCCAAGGAGAAGCCAGCGGTGGGCGGAGATACTGATTGTGGGCGTGGTTACTCGGGGAGGGCCCGCGATGGGGCGGGGCTAAGTGGAGGCGGGGCTGGGCGAGGACCAGATCAAGCCGGACTAAGGATCGGAAGGTGGTGTTGGGCGCTGTCCCAGGCTCAGGCTTCCAGGACCTCCCGCCCGGACCCAGCCCGCTATCAAGAGGAAATGGATCCTGGCTTTGTTGAGGGGGAGGGTCGGGACCGTCCCACCCCGCATCTCATCCCTCAGCCTAGGCTGGAGAGTCAACTCCGTCCCTAAACCAGCGGCTTTTCACCCTGCCCTCCGCAATCCCACCAGGAAGCCCCCGGTGGGACTGTGGAGGGCAGGGTGAAATTAGGCTACTTCCTGGGAATTCCCTCCACCATGCTGTCCAGGGCCAGTAGGAACTACAAGACCTAGGGAGCTCTGCCTACTTCAAAGGCTCTCTGCCCAAGGCTGTGGTCAACAGTGAGGGTTCTGTTTTACTATCAATTACTGTTGTTAAACTCTTACTGTGCCTAATAAACTTTATCGAAGGTATGTATAGGAAAAATGTAGTATATATATATAGGGTGCAGTACTATCAGGTTTCAGGCATCCACTGTGGGTCTTGGGACATGCCACCTGTGTGTGGATGAGAGGGGACTGCTGTAACCTTGCAGTGACCAATCTGCTTTTCGTTCCGTTTCTGCTTTTTCCAGTCCTTTTCTACCTGTAAAGCCCACCTCCTCTGCCCAGCTCACTAGAGCACCATCTCTAAATTTTTAGAGAAGATGCCATCCTGATTCATGAATCAATAAAAGCCAATAGATCTTTAAACTATACTTGTGGTAATTTTGACTTCTGACAAAGGGATATTAAATAATTGTATAACCACACCAGACCAATCTGATTCAACTTTTATATATCCAAGTTGTGAGCTGTTTTTCAGTTGCATAGACTCCCAGATGGAAGATCTTGCTCGTAACCTGAAGATGCCCAGATGAACCAAGCATGCAACCAGGAGCAGAACCTCAGTGCTCAGATCAAAGCAGGGAGTGAATTCAGTAAAAGGCACTGCATGGTGAGATCCAGAATGTTAAAACGCCCGCTCTGAATGAAGAGACCCCGAAACAGGCTTTGTGTAGCAACATGCCTGTTTATTCACCTGGGTGCAGGTGGGCTGAGGTTGAAAAGGGCATCAGTGAAGGGCGGTGGGATAGGAGTTGGTTTTATGTTTGGGGTGGGCAGTGGAAACTTACATTTTAGGGCAGTTTTTTGCAAGCTGGGAGGAGATTGTAGGTTTGCAACCTGGGATGGGGTCATAGGGTCTGGAGTCATGAGGTTGACCAAGGTCAGTTACAAAGTACAATGACCTTATCAATTAGGGCAGGAATAAGGAACAATAGAGAATGTCTCAAAATTAAGTAGGTGTGGGAGAGGTTGATCATTTCTTCAATCTTTCAGTTACTTTAGATTTTCCAGGAACTCATCTGGAGTGTCCTTGCAAGTCACAGAGGTTAACGTGGCGTCCATGGCACCGTCAGTCAGCCTAAAAGACCTTACACAGAATGCAATCAGATCGAGCCTTCCCATCACCCTATGGCAGGGTCCAGTCAGATGAGCATCCCGGCATCACCTCATTGCAAAATCTAATCAGATCATACCTCATTACTCTATGCTTATAAAACCCAGTCCAGCCCCCGGCTCAAGGAGACAGAGTTGGGTGTCTCCTCATGTCTCCTTGACATCAACTCCCAATAAAGCCTTTCTTTTCTCAGAAGCCGGTGCCGGTGCCATGGTGTTGGCTTCTAGCTTGTCAGGAAGCAAGCCCATTGTAGCAAGATAGAAGGACAACAGAATCTGTTCTGACAGTTTTTCCTGAGGGCTTTCTCTGAGATGAGTAAGAAAGATAGTTTCACTTTTACATTTACATAGTACTCCAGGAAATTGAATGTCCAGGCTCAGGTGTGATGGAGCAGCTTACAGCAGACCAAGGCTCCCACTAACAACAACTAGAAAAGCTGGAAAGCAAAGTCAGAAACCATCGATTTGAAGGCAGTGGAAGCTGCTGAGGCAAGAATGGGGGAACTTGATATTCCAGAGAAAGGGGAACCTTAAAGGGGTGAGCTAATGTCTGCAGGGGCTTGATGTCTGAGGGCTTTTTGCCAATTCTGGACACAAGTATGAGGCTGAGAATTTAGACTTTGAGACCACAGAGGACCACTGCTGGGGACAGAAAACCAATACAGCTTTTGCAGAGACCTGGGGGAAATTCCAAGGACATTTGCTGAATTCAAGGCTTGTATGGGGCAATAAACTGAAGCTTACATGAAAGGCCCCTGACAACAGAAGTTTTTGATAGACTTGCAAAACAAAGATTTAAGTCTGAGATTCTGCTGGGGTGGTGGCAGAAGTGGGTCCCTGCAGAGCCTACACCATGTTCCCAGCTGGAAACTGTAGGGCAAAGGTAGCCTGAACCCTACCAGAGCCTCAGCCCAGCCTCCACTCCATGCAGTGCCTGATTGGTTGTAGGTTATCGGCCACCCTCCTCTTTCGTTTTGAGGAGGAAAGGGAAAACCCTCCAGAGAGGATAAAATTTGAAGCCTCTACAACTTTTTAGAAGCTATATTTGGCATCTCATTAAAAAGTTACTAGATAAATGAAAGAAAGAAAAAGGCAATAGAAGCAGACACACAGATGAGTCAGATATCGGAGTTGCCTAAAACAACTATGGTGAGTATGCTCAAGAAAACAGAGAAAAAGATGAAAATTTTCACCTGAGTATTGAAATCCATAAAAATAAATCAATGAGCCGGGTGCAGTGGCTCATGCCTATAATCCCAGCACTTTGGGAAGCCGAGGTGGGTGGATCACGAGGTCAAGAGATTGAGACCATCCTGGTGAACATGGTGAAACCCCATCTCTACTAAAAACACAAAAATTAGCTGGGCATGGTGGTGCACACGTGTAGTCCCAGCTACTCGGAAGGCTGAGGCAGGAGAATTGCCTGAACCCAGGAGGCGGAGGTTGCGGTGAGCCGAGATCGCGCCATTGCACTCCAGCCTGGGTAACAACAGTGAAACTCCGTCTCAAAAAAATAAAATAAAATAAAATAAAATAAAATAAAATAAAATAAAAATAAATAAATCAAATGAAAACTCTAGAGATGAAAAGTATAATAAATGAGGCTGTGAACTCTGGACGTTAAACACAACCAGCGACACAATTAGTGAACTTCAGGCAACATTGATAGAAAACATCCAATCTGAAGCACGGAAGGAAAAAAATGGAAAATACAGAAACAAGTGTTAGAGACACGTGGGATGTGATGAAAAGGTCTACCAGGTGTTCATTTTCCCAGAGAAAGAGAGAATGGGGCAGAAACAATATTTGCAGAGATAATAAGAGTCCAAGTTTCACAAAACTGATGAAAGACATCAAATTATAAGTTCTATGATTCCTAAGCAGGATAAATACAGTCTACCACACCCAGTGCATTCTAGTAGGACCACTGAAAATCAAAGACAAAGATGCGATCTCAAAAGGTACCAGGAAAAAAGATACATTGTCTTTTAAGACTGTCAGCTGATGTCAGAAACAATAAATCCAGAAGACAATGGAATGGCATCTTTAATGTGCCGAAAGAAAATACACATATTTAATTCAACATTCCCCAATATTTTAGGCAGTAAGATTTACTGAGAACATAGAGATGGTGCAGACTTCAGATTTTATGTTTTAATTGTCATGTGTATGTGACGTCATCTGGAATTAAGTTTAAAAAAGCAAAAAAAAAAAAAAACGGGCCGGGTGTGGTGGCTCAAGCCTGTAATCCCAGCACTTTGGGAGGCCGAGGCGGGTGGATCACAAGGTCAAAAGATCGAGACCATCCTGGTCAACATGGTGAAGCCCCGTCTCTACTAAAAATACAAAAAATTAGCTGGGCATGGTGGCGCGTGCCTGTAATCCCAGCTACTCAGGAGGCTGAGGCAGGAGAATTGCCTGAACCCAGGAGGCGGAGGTTGCCGTGAGCCGAGATCGCGCCATTGCACTCCAGCCTGGGTAACAAGAGCGAAACTCCGTCTCAAAAAAAAAAAAGTAAAAAAAGTAAGTTATGCTGGCATCGCATGGCAGTTTCTCAGATGAGAAACCTGCCTACAGTGGTGATCAGCCACCTTCTTGCTTCCAAGGTCACGTTAGTTTTATTCACCCTTAAACTTAAAATCACATGATTAATATCATGTATCGAATTCTTTTTAACATTAAAAGGGGTCAAAAAACAAACACAGATAAAAACACAAACAGATGATCCTGAACTTAATTCAGTAGCACTAATACCACAGTTTTATTTATTTTATCATCTCTGTTCTTTTTTTTTTTTTTGAGACGGAGTTTTGCTCTTGTTACCCAGGCTGGAGTGCAATGGTGCGATCTCGGCTCATGGCAACCTCCGCCTCCTGGGTTCAGGCAATTCTCCTGCCTCAGCCTCCTGAGTAGCTGGGATTACAGGCACACGCCACCATGCCCAGGTAATTTTTTGTATTTTTAGTAGAGACAGGGTTTCACCATGTTCACCAGGATGGTCTCAATCTCTTGACCTCGTGATCCACCCACCTTGGCCTCCCAAAGTGCTGGGATTACAGGCATGAGCCACCACGCCCGGTCCTCTCTGTTCTTATTTCTTTATCTTGTTAGAGTAAGTACATCATCACCCACCCAGCTATTGAGACGAACCTGGGTTTAAAAATTTGAACCAGAATATGTCAGAGATTCAAAACCAGGACACAAACCATGAGGACTGACTATGTGCTTCCAGATGATTCTACCTGAATCACAGGTGAGAAGGCCAAGCCCTTTCTCACAGTGACTATGGCAATAGGTGTTCATGACCTTCAC